CCACGTCGATTGTTCCACAATGTTTGCATACCACATAGAGTGCACTACGTAGTTTGTACCACATTGATTGCCCCACGGACATTGGACATCGGATGCCGCACCATATCGGCCGCACCACATAGACTGCGCCATATACATTGGTCCACAACTATTGCACCGATCGTGTTGCAGAACATAAAGTTGCGCAGCGTATATGGCACACCGTAGGATGCACCACGTAGATGGGGCGACGTAGGCTGCATCACCTACATTGCGCACCATCTACTGCTAGAAACACAATGTTCGCGGTCCACGCTGGCCAACCTACATACACACACACACACACACACGTGTGTATCTCTCTCTATATATACACATATATATATACACAAGACTGCGGTGGCGCTTCGCGCCAGGCACCTTGGTCCTTGAAGCTTGGTGTGCAGGCGGGGCCGCAGGAAGGTCAAGCCGACAATTTAGCGATAACTCCTTCTTGCCTTTTCCGGCATCGCCGCTGTAATAATGTTGATCGTTATTCTTCCTCTATGTTTCTTTTTCTACATTTTCGCCACACCCAGCGCATTCTCCCCATGCTCCAGCTCTTTTTTGCGGAGGCTCCTCCTTGGAGAGCCTCTGGGGGCCTCAAGAAAGTTGTTTCAGGCTTTCTTAAAGCCTTCTGGAGGCCTCCTGAGCGTATTCTGGGGGCCTCTGGGGGCTTCCTCGGGCCACCCTGCCTCCAACTGCTTGGGCCGCCATGGGGCTCTCTGAGGGCCATCTTGGACCCGTGTTGTGCCGTTTTGGGGCTATCTTGGACTGCTTGGAACCCCTTTCGGATGGTTGTGGGGCGATATGGGAGCCTCCCAGGCGGCTTCGGACGCCCAGAAGACCGCCGTTTTGAAGCGCCGGGAAGCCGAAAAGAGGAGAACCCCACAATTCACCAAGAACCGTCAGAAAATTATTGGTTTTTGCCTCTTGGGGCCTTCTTCGGAGTGCTTTTGCTGGAGGCCTCTTAGGCCATCTTGAGGTCACGTCGGTCACTCTTGGAGCGCTCTTGTGCTGTCTTGGGGGTCTCTGGGACGTCTCCGATGACCCCCCTGATCGCCCTAGGTGTGTTGGGAAGGCTTGGCAAAACGCCCTGCGAGGCCCGCGGGGCCGCTTCGAGGCCCGTCCGGAGGGTCCCAAAGCTCCAGATCCCGGGAGTCCGGTTTTGGGGGGGGTCCCCCCGCCCGGGCTTGCAAAAATATAGGAACAGGAATCTGTATGTGTGTAGATATCTATGTATGCAGCTGTAACTACATGACGTCGGACACCGTCAGACGGCATATCTCCGCCAGCGCTGGACCCCTTTGGTCGCACGCCTGGCGCGCTTCGCGCGCTCGCGCGCACGCTGGGGACTGGTGTGGCACTGGGGGTCCGGTGCCAGCCCGATCTGCCCCGCGCGGGCGTCTGAGGCTCATGCTTCGGATATTCTGCGGCCGATTTCCGAAAGTTTCCCGCCCTTCCCGAGAAGGCCACCCTGCGGCTTCTTGGCATTCCGATCGGCGTCGATGCCGAGAAGACCTTCCTCTGGGACAAGATGTCGCGCCAGTCTCGGGAATGCTGGGCATTCCTGCACACGAGGTTCTTCCACCCTGTGCTGGTCGGGGGCAGCGAGTGCGAAGAAAGCAGCCCACAAGATGGGTTGCGCGACCAGTTCCAGGACGTGTTCCAGTTGCGGCGGTCCATGTCCAGGAGGGCCGCGGCGTCGCCGACAGCATCAGTGGAAGAAGACGGCGACAGTTCCTCAACGTCTGACGGTCTGTAGCGCATAGGTGCCAGCCAGAACGACGGCCAGTCATGGGAATTGGTGGCCGTGCGATGCCTCTGGTCTGGAACGTTTGCTTAGCGTGTCGCGCCGCCCGTTCTGGCCCACCACGCCTCGGCGCGGCCTGCTAACCACATCCCCTTTTCCTCAGCTCTTCCCCGCCCCCCGCCCCGCGGAGCGGAGAGACACGCAATCATCACGCAGGGCACAGCGTGGCACCAGGGCCGCCGCGGAGACACGCTAAGCAGCAGCTCCTGACCGCAGGTTTGGTGTTCGATCATGGACCCCTTGTTGAACGCAACTTCGCGCCGAAGACCGCTGAAGACCGCCGAAGATGGCCCTGGAGCGATGGGTAACGAGGGGTCCATGGTCGAACTCGTGACGTTGAACACGTAACGTGGGGGATCTCTCTTGGCTTTCTGGTCAGGGTCACCGTCTCGGGGCTCCGTTAGAAGTCGGGCGCTCGACCGCGGGTCCGCTCGTGAGCGCAGCCGCCCGGCCTCCGCGCAAGGGGCCGCCGCCAGAGGGGCGACGACTCCCACAGAAGCTGCAGACGGCCGCTCGGTATGAAGTTCGAGGACAGAAAATCTCGGCGCCGAGCCTGGAGGGGGGAAAGTGCGGCCAGGAAGGACACACTCGGCAAGAGTGGGCGGGGAGAGCGTGCGGGATGGCGGAGGGGGACGGCCTGAGGGGAAGCGGGGCGAACCCGTGGGCGTGCATTTGCTCTGTATGCCCGTTGCCGTCTGTCTCTCGAGCGAGCGCCCCCTCACTTGTGCTCAGGGGCGCACGTTTTTTTACCTAACAGCGAAGACTGATAGGCTTCTAGTGGGGTCAAAAGAGAGCATCTTGACTCCCCAGGGGGGTCTGGGCGGGTGCCGGGAATATCCGGAGAATCCGGGGACTCCCCAGGACTCCTGTAGATTTTCATAGTTTCTTATAGTTTCCTATAGTTTCCTACGGGTTCCTACAGATTCTGTTCCCAGAACACCATTCCCAGGCCACATTTTGAATGCCCGGAGCCAACTGTGGGCCACTTCGTGTTCTTCGTGTTCCTAGAACACCATTCCCAGGCCACATTTTGAATGCCCGGAGCCAGCTGTAGGCCACTTCGTGTTCTTCGTGCTCCCAGTACACCATTCCCAGGCCACATTTTGAATGCCCGGAGCCAGCAGTAGGCCACTTCGTGTTCTATGTGTTCCCAGAACACCATTCCTGTACCATATTTTGATTGCCCGGAGCCAACTGTGGGCCACTTCGTGATCTTCGTATTCCCAGAACACCAGTCCTGTGCCTTATTTTGAATGCCCGAGCTGCGGCAGGCTGAGGCCGAGGCAGGCTGAGGCCGAGGCAGGCTGAGGCTGAGGCTGAGGCACGCCGAGGCAGGCTGAGGCTGAGGCTGAGGCAGGCTGAGGCTGAGGCAGGCTGAGGCTGAGGCAGGCTGAGGCTGAGGCAGGCTGAGGTTGAGGCTGACGCAGGCTGAGGCCGAGGCAGGCTGAGGCTGAGGCTGAGGCAGGCTGACCGGGCCACGCTGAAGGCGCGTTGGGCTGTCTTGGAGGCGCTCGCGGCCCGCCTCGGCGCCCTCGAAGTGCCGTCTCGGGGCCTCGCGGGGCCCTGTCAGGCCGCCCTGGCGTTTTCCTGGCTCGAGGAAGGTTACGCGACCAGCCCCGTGGATCACGTGCGGAACCTCCAAGTCCTGGGCCTCTGTGTCACGAAATGCTTTTCTCAATGAATACAGCGGGGAAGCCCGCGGGACGGGGATATCCCAGTGTCTACGTCAGCGGAAGCTGGTGGTAGGGGGTTGGGATCCTTGGGCTCGCTCTGGGCCCCACTGGGTCCCCTATAGGGGCCCGTCGGGGCCTCGAAGTTCTTCGGGGCGCGGCTGCTGCTCCTCAGTTTCTCCGACGATGTTCGGTTGAACCACGTCGGGGGCGTCTGGGGGGTCTCGGGGCCGTCTCGGGGCCGCTGAAGCCGCGCGGGTATCCTCGGGGCGTCTGCAGGGCCTCGCGAAGCTATTTCGGAACAGTTCTAGTCCGCCTCGGCAGCGTTTCGATGCGCTGAGAGGAAATTCGTTGCGATTCGTGCAATTTTGGTATCGCTTCTGCGATCCATCCTGTCAGCACGGTTGTTGATATGCAAGACAGACTATTTGTTTGTGCGCAGATCATCGGGGTTCCCGAACCATGTTTTTCAGAATGTAATTTGCTGTTTTGGAACTGCGTTTCCAGAACGCAATAAAGACATGCTGTTGACCTTTTACGCGCTTGGCATTGCAATACCCTGCAAGAGTGCAAGTGTATATGTATTTAGACTCGTAGTGTATTTGGGCGCCCCGAAAATTGCTTTTGCCACACTGCTTGCCGCACTCCTGCCTGCCTGAGCTCCACAGTGCAACCTAGCAAATTGAAGATCGTGAGTTGCATGTATTGTACAAGGCAGACTTTCAAACATCAAACCAGAGGCCAAGAATTGAGAGTCGAAGTATTGAGTCATCGATGAACCCACGGTTTTCTTTGCTTCAACCTGGGGGGGACGGAATTGAAATGTTCATGCTTCAATTCGTCAACTGGAAGATATGGGGTTGACACTTCTCATATTCCATATTTTCATCCCGAGAGTGGGATTGGACTTTCCAATTTCTGATTTTGGTTTCAATTAGTGCTCACTGCTTGAGAATTTTTGAAGAACTGTGCTCTATTGCAGGCACGTGGACCAGATCGACAAGTTGGACGTCGACGGCAGCGGCAGCGTCGAGCCGCGCGGGCCTGGAGACCTTCCCTGCAGGCGCCCGCCGGCGCCTCCCTGCTGGGCGGGAGCCCGCCGCGCCGCCATCCTGTACTGCTCTATGGCCCCTCGCCCTCACCCCACAGACCTCCCTGGCGATTCGCAGAAAAGATCGCTTAATGGCGCCGGCTCCTCTCGACCAGAGCACCGCCCCCTACGCCTCCTCCTCCTCCTCCTCCCCCCTTGCTGCTTCCGTAGCCGCTTTGGCTCAAGACTATGATTTTCCGCGGGAGTCAAACGGATACCTCTGGTCCGAGGCTAGATCCAAAGTCATCTCCACATCTCACCTCTCCTGACGTGTTGCCCGCCGTCTGGAGGCTCCATATTTCCACTCAACCTGTGGCCGCGGGTAAACAGGAGGCATTTCTTGTTTCTGCGATCATAGGTGGGTTTGCGATGCCCAGCAGTGCTTTTCAATACGCTTCCCGCAGCACGCATGGAGGCCGTTACCGACGTTCGCGCCTTCGACGGAAAGATCATCGCTGTAGTCGGAGAGACAGGCGTCGCGATGCATCTAGTTCACGGTCAGACAGTCCTCGAGGCGGCTTTGGCTCTCCAGCTCCCGATGCTCGCGCTCCGCTTCGGCATCATCACGGTCAATCCAGCCATGATCCTCGTCCTGCTCCTGGTGGGCATCACCATGTTGAAGACTACCGACAAGCGTTTTCTCCCGCTGAATGCCAGTGGCTTCAAGAACAACTCGACGACTCCTCCAATTTCGCAGATTACGAGGCACGAGATCTCCGTGCCGATCCTCTTCAAGGCCCTCGGGATCTTTGAGCTGGTCACGTTCGCGGTCTTGTTCAGCACCATCAGCCACAGGCTCCTGTTCCGCGGTCTCGTTCTGAAAGCGGTGGTGTCGGCACAAATCATGATAGACAGCAAGCGGTGGACGCGAACCGCATTGAAGAAGTGGTGCGCAGCACGATTACATTGCAAAGTGGGCCATGTACGGAGAGAAGCCAACGGTATCATGCAAACGGCGCACTCTGGCTTCCAGGACACGGCCGTGATTCCCCTCCGCCCGCAGGTTTTTCGGATTGGCCAACGCGACGTGGACATTCGCAATCTGGAGGAGCGTGCTGGTGTTGTGGAGCAAACTCAGGGCACTATGCAGCAGGGCTTGGAAGAATTCCAGCGATCATTGCACGTGGAGTCGCAACTAGCACCGCTGGCTTGGCTCGCATCGCCCATTGCGACCGCCCACCTGATTCTAGTTTGTTCCACATTAGCAATGCTCTTCTAACTGATGCGAGCGATATCAAGGTTGCCACAGTGGAGTGGATTGACGACGCGGGCGCCGAATCGGCTCAATACTAGTACATCACTCACGGTCAGGCTCCTAGCAACGTTTTATGTCTTCATTTGCATGGTGGTCTTCCTGGCATCACTCGCGCGGCTCGGCCTGCACAACAGCTGCAGCTTCCTGGAGGTATCTGGCGCCAGTTCCGCGCCATCTCAATAGTCGGCGCCAGCGACGCGATATACATCAACCTGGGCAAGAGCCCCAAGACCATCAAGCAATAGACCCACTGCAAATGATTGTGCGGCATTGGCGCCGTCTTCGCTCCAGAGGCATCACCCGTGCAGGCGCTATTCCCTTGGTGGACTTAGTGCCGCAGGGCGTCCAGGAGCCCGCTCGTCTGGCCTGGTCGCCTGAAGCAGTGGCCCAGCTCGGCGTCGACATCAACGCCTCCGCCTCGTGCTTCAGACAGCAGATGCATGTCGTCGACGCCTCGGCTTGAGCGTTATCCGAGCAGGCGGTGGCTACCCTGGGTGATTGAGCACAGTGGATCTCAGGAGTTGGGTGTTGCGTCCTGGAACTCTCGCGGCCTGCTGTGTTGGAGCCGCGGCCGCCGCCGCTTGAAGCTTCGCCACTTGCGGAAGCCCATGATGCAGAGGGCGGTTGGTCTCCACCAACAGATCCATAGTAAGGGGCTCACGCCCAAAACCATTATCAGCCAGTTCAGCAGTGAATGCAATATCTTCGATATCTCCGGCTCTGGCTTTGAGGGGGCTGCGGAGGGCGGCGTGGCCATGGTCGTTCCCTGGCATGATTCCTTGTCACTTGTAAACATGGGCGCGGCTGCTATGCGCGCATTTCATCACGCCACGCTGGCCTCAGGCCGCATTCGTCACCTAGCTGTGCGGAGCCCCGTTTCGGGGAAAGAGTTAGGATTCTCAGCCTTCAGAATTGTGACATTCCTCGCGAAGCCCGTCGTCAGATCAAAGTTGGGCCCGGAATCTTACGTGGGCTTAGACTGACGAGCCTCTCAGGTTCGCGCCACGCACTGGAGGGGAGATGTCCTTCAGCACTGGTACGTCATTGCCCGCGAGTCTACGGTCGACGTGATCCATGATGCGCCCGCTGGGCTTTGCCGGACCACGCTGCTTTTCGCATGCGGTTGGCTCCGCGGCGTCCGATGTCTTTAGGCCAGCGAGGGGTGCCGTGTTTCATCTTCAAGCAGTCGCGCTTCAAGGAGATCCTTCAGAGCTGCGTCAACGCTGCCAACCTCGGCGAACTACACGCGAACGCCAACTGGGGGAATATCAGAGCTCATGACATTAGCTGCTGGGTTGGCAGCTCCTCCCTCCGCCGGTGCGCCTGCGCTAAGGTGCGCGTCTCTTCGTGCTCTTGCAAGGGCTGTGCGGCGTCGAGACTCGCGGTTGGCGCGGCGTAGTCAATCCACATCTGACATTGCTTTCCGTTCCTTCAGCGTCACTCCGTACCTGGTGGTCGACATCGTTAACGCTGTCGAGTTCCGCGAGCTCACCGCCAACCACAACCAGCAGCACTTCGATGAGGCAGCCCAGGAGTCGGTTCGGATTGGCGGGCAGCCGCGAAAGTGCTGCTCAAGGTGCCGACTCTTCCCAAAGATGCATCGGCGATGCGGCTCGATGTGGAACCTGATTCTCTCAATGCTAGCGTCGCCGATGCATCGCCGAAGTCGCCGATGAATCGCTTGTGCATCGCCGATGCGGTGTGATCCTGCGGCCCCATTCTGCTCGGACACCATCTGGGAGGCAGACACAGGATGAAAACTGGCCGTGGGGACAGGGTCGGGGCTGCCAGGGACCCCGTTGGGACAACGACGACGACAGCGGCGGCGGCGACGACGACAACGGACGACGATGACGGACGACGATGATGATGACGACGATGACGACGACGACGACCACGACGGACGACGACGATGACGACGGACGACGACGACCACGACCACGACAACGGACGACGACGACAACGGACGACGACGACGATTACGAGACCTCGCATGTCTGGGTCCCCGCTCGCAGCCGCGTCAGCTCGAGCCTGCCCGTTGCGCGGCCGCGCCCGCTCTCCCGCGCCGGCCGCCGCGATGGGGGGCAGCAGGGGTGCGGACGCGCGCTGCGAGCGCATCGCGCGGTGCCTCCCCGGGGGTGGCGCCAAGGGCTCCTCCCTCCTCCTCCTCCCCCTCCTCCCCCCCCTCCTCCTCCTCCTCCCCCTCCTCCTCCTCCTCCTCCTCCTCCTCCTCTCTCCTCCTCCTCCTCCTCCTCCTCCTCCTCCTCCCCCCTCCTCCTCCTCCTCCTCTCTCCTCCTCCTCCTCCTCCTCCTCCTCCTCCTCCTCCTCCTCCTCCTCCTCGGCACGCCGACGCTGGCAGGGGCTGTCCCCAGACACGTGGCGGAGTCGTTCGGGCCCGGGGGCAGTGCACAGCGAGTCCGGGTCGAGCGCCCCCTCCCTGTGGAGGGGGGTCGGGGAAGCCTGCAGTTCGTGGACTGAAGCCAAGCAGTGTGTATCGGATCATCGAGGGGATGAACCCCTCACCCTAATAGCATCGTGAAGGCGTGGCTCCACCCAGATCCCAGTCTTTGCATTAGGGATGATCGATCTGGGCGGTCTGGTCTGATACATCTGCTGAATCGACCGTATGATCCCATGTTTCTGGCTCTCCTAACTGAGGTCCCATCCCACATGGCCAGGGATCATTTTATCGGTAATCATCGGATGTCTGGGTCCCAGAACTATGTATACATATATTCATTTCGAGACGGCATTTCTTCTCCGTCGACGTTGACCCTCGCGAGCGACGAGGTTTTCACATCTATGCCCTCGCGGTCTAGGCACCCCTGCGCGATCCCATGGATACGCGATCCTATCGATACGTTCCGCGCGGGGCATCCGCGCAAGGCCGCCCTGTATCCATGGGGTCGCGGTCGGGGAGTCCGGACTGCGAGGCCGTTGATATGGATAATTATGTTACCCGCCCTGAACGCACGTCGACGTCGATCCTGGCCAGGCGCATCCTCAGACATCCTTCGTCACGGAACATCCGCGAGCACACATCATACAAAGTTATCCACCACCAGGGGGGTAGGGCAACATACATCCGTATCCATTGTCCCCTCCCCTGGGCTCCTGGGACATCGCTTCCCCAGGCGATACAACGCGTCGAGACGGCCCGCTTTTCACGTGCTTGGGCCGTTGGAGGCTCGATTCGTGCTCAGGGGCCAGAGGAACCAACACAGCCCTGGGTGAGAAGCTTGTCCCTGGGATGGTGCCGAGAGTTCTGGGGGCCTACAGCACAGTCAACCCGCATAGTAAGGATGAACGACTTTCCAAGGCGACCCTTGCATCCTTGCCCTTCGGCCCATCCTTTGCCGCTTTCGCTGGCCGCGCCCCGCTCGCAGTCTCTACACGACCTTCCAGGGCCCTTCCATCCTTATCGTGCGTCGTTGACAGCAGAACAATAATCACGGCGTCGGGTGCCTGGATACGAGCCGCGCGCTCCAAAAACGGGGCCTGGCCCTATCGAGAGGTGCTGACCCCCCGCCTTCGACGGAAGCCGGTGGCGGGTCGGCGGGAGCCTGCAGACGCCAGGAGCGCGAGGGCGGCCTGTCTGGCCGAAGCAAGACCTGCCCCCCCCCCAAAGAGAGGTCTCGATGGTTCAAAGATGGGGTCCTGAGGGATTGGATCCCAAGGATAGGAAGGGATCCCCAGGGTGAGCTTACGTTGTTTGAGGCACCTCGTCCTTCGGACCCCATCCCTCAGGGCCCCATCTGTGAACCACCAAGGGTCAGCGCGAGGATGCCCAGGGTCCTCGGGACTCCGGGCCCGGGATCGGTGCACCGTGCCCCCCAGGCCAGGCCGGGAGCGCGCCGCAGCGGCGCAGAACCGCGCCGCGGTCGGAGGCAGGCCGCCGAGGGGCCACTGTGGGGCCCACTTGGGCACGGGAGGGGGCGGGAGGAGCCGGCGGCCCGGCCCAGCTCGGCGCGTTGGCGCCTGCCCGCCCCGCGAGGTGCGTCGCGGACATCCGGGAGGCCGACCTGGTGTCCCTGGACCTGGAGTTCTCGGGGCTCTTCCTGGACGCCGACCGCCCCTCGCGGAAGCAGCCCCTGTCCATGGCGACCGGCGGCGCGCAGCAAGAGGGAGGGGGAGCGGGGTGCGGGGGGGGGCGCGGCTGGACCGGAGGGCCCCGCTCCTAGGCCCCGCCCCGCGGCCAGCTTCGGGCCGCATGACGGGGTCCTTGCGGGGCCCGCTCAAGCAATCGCAGCCGCAGCGAGCTTGATTTCTTGCCCACGCGCTGGACGGTGCATGGCTCGTGAGTGGGTCCCTGAGGGGCCCGCGCTCCCTCTCGAGCAGCCCCCCTCGCCTGCCTGCCGGTAGGGCCCGCGCCCTCCCCCCCGGCCGGACGGCTCCGCTCCACAGCACCCTGGTCGGGGGGCGTCGGCTGGCCGCCTTTCCGATGCCGAGGCCGTGCCCACCCTGGGCTCCTTGGCCAGGCCAGGAGGCAGGCACGTGTGCACCGATCCTGGGCCCATGCAGGATCGGCCCGACCGCTGGATCGGTGGGGTGGTCAGGTCGACACCCCGTCCCCGGCCACTCGCCCGAGCCGCACCTGGCCGCCCCCGTAGCCATGGGGGAAACAGGTCCTCAGGGAAACTGGTCCTGAGGTTTCTCGCCGTTTTCGGGCTCTCTGGGCCCTCCACTGGGACCCCACGGGCCCCGGACTGCCAGAAGACGACGCAGCAGGAAGATCTCGTGCCGGGGGAAGGCCCCATGATGACGATGATGACAATGATGATGATGATGATGATGATGATGATGATGATGATGATGATGATGATGATGATGATGATGATGATGATGATGATGATGACGATGATGATGACGATGATGACGATGATGACGATGATGACGATGATGACGATGATGACGATGATGACGATGATGTGTCCAGGACCCCGGTCCCTCGGGATCCGTTCCCCCCCCCCGTGCTAGAACTCGTCCGAGCTGCGGGGCGCCGTCGCCCTGCCTGCCTTCCTCGGTGGCTCGAGGAGGGGGCCCGCAGGGGCGGGGCCCTGCGGGCGCGGGGCCTCAAACGGGTGTGTAGGTTCAACCTGGGATTTCTGCCTACCCTCAGGCCTTTACAAAGTCAGCGCTGGTAGTACGGATGATCGACTTCTCAAGGGTGCCCTTGCACCCTTGCCTCTGCGGTCATCCTCGGTCCATCGTTACCCACTTTCGATGGCCAGCCCCGCTCGAAGAGTCTCGGCATGTGCGTCCGGGGCCCTTGCATCCTCACCGCGCATCCTTACTGTCGGTGTTGACTGTTGCGCCCCGTCCTTCAGCGCCCCATCTTTGAACCACCGACCTCCGAATCGATTCGATTCAGTTTCAATGGATTCCGATTCCGATTCGATTTGACTTTGGATTCCGATGTGGGTTCCGACTCCTCAATGGAGGTCTTACTAGCCTGCCGATTTCCGCCGATTCGATTTCTCCCGACTTGGCTGCCCATTTCTGCCGATCCGATTCATTCCGATCGCCGATCCGACATATCGATGCGATTCTGGGCTCTCCTGTCCAACCCTCAGGACTTAGCTCGGCGTCACCCCATCATACTAGTACTATGTGTGCGTCGACCCCCCTGGGGCGACGCGCGCATCGAGAAATCTTATACTATAAGCTCCGTGGTGGGTGCTTTCTGGTCATACCGCTCGGGAAACGATATACCGATATACTACAATATGTTTGTACTATATGTCCTGTGTTCGGGTCGGACGCACGCCTCCAAGGATAACATGTAGTACAAGTGTGTGCACCTGCGTCCCATTAGCGCCTCATCCCGCAGGGCACCATGTTTTAATCACCGACCTTCTTGTCGGAGGGGAGGGGGGGGGAGCGGCACCACCCCCACCACCAGCGGGCGGCCCCATCCGTCGGGGAGGCCTGGGGCGCCTGCCACGGGGCTGGAGCTGGGAGACGCCTCGGGCTTCGGGACTCAAGAGACGGGGTCAATTCAAACTGGGGTCAGCCAGAGCGCCGGATCTTGCAGGATCCTGCAGGGCCAGGGTGCCACTGACCCGGGGTTGGGTGCAGGATCCTGCAGGACTCTGCAAGGCCTAGTTGATCTTGGTCTGGATTGACCCGGGTCAGAAGGTCCCCGAGAGCGGGGCGCCGCGAGGCAGGGGGCGCACGTTTGAAATCGCGAGCTGGTCAGCAGAGACAGGGCTCCACAGTTCCCTGACCCCCGACGCCATGGTTTTTTCGTAACACCGACCCCCAGAGGTCTCGGCCCATTTCTCGGGGGCCGGTTTCCCATCCCGAGTCGCTATTTGACGGTCCCGAGGCCCGCTGAGGGCCCCCAGAGGCTGTCAACAGCGTACTGCCGTCCGTCGTGTGCTTGTTCATGATTCGAGGGGCTTGGTTTTACAGTGCCAGCAGTCACCACGATGGGATGACGAAAGCTCGAAGGGGGCCACGCACCACCAGGAGGACTCCCCCCGCTGGCTCCTCGCGGCGGCGGTGGTGGTGGTACCGCCTTTCTATACTTCTGTAGCTGCTCCTCCGCGCGCCGCCTAGGAGGGCTACTTCGCGAAGTGCGCGAACAGCGTCGCCGAGTTCCTGCCGCTGCAGCTGGGCGTCTGCTGCGCCAGGCAGGCCAGGGGCAGCCCGAGCCCAGCTGCCATGGCGTCGTCTCCACTGCAGTCACAGGGGGTTGTCTGGGGCTTTCTCCTTCCACCTCCCTCCCTCCCTCGTCTTTCCTCCTCTTCCTCCTTCTTCCTCCTCTTCCCTCCCCCTCCCCCCCCCTTGAGGGTTGGAAGGCTACCGCCAGGCGCCTTCCTCGATACATTGGCGGCTCCAGCGCCGGGGGGCGTCAGAGAAATCAGCCGACGTGAGCTGGTTTGCCAACCCCCCCTTTGCTATCCCCCCCTCTCGTTTGACCCGATCCTCTTTCAATGATTCCAAAACTCGTTTCTGGTGCATGAAAATCACAGGCGTGTCTCGTCATCCGTGTCACTTGGCCCACGGGCTCCCTGATGGGAGCGACGCAAACATGCCCCCTGACAGGAACGGCGTCCTAGGATCTCTCTGATAGGAGCGGCGCCCACAAGCTCCCTGATAGGAATTGCGCCCAGAAGCTCCTCGATAGGAGCGGCGCCTACAGGCTTCCCGATAGGAGCTGCTTCCTTGAAGCTCCCTGATCGGAGCGGCACCCGGGAGCTCCCTGATAGGAGCGGCGCCCTCGAACCTCCCCGACAGGACAGGTGATCCGCGCGTGCCCCGTGGCACGGTGCTCGCCGAGAGCCGCGTAGCGGCGGTCTTGCCCACCCTCACGCCACCCTCGTGGATCATTCCAGCGCCCTGTCCTGGCTGCGAGTCTCAGGGTGTGACCCAGAAGGCTCCATCCAGTCAGCGCTTTTGACTGGTCCCCTGCTGGCGCAAAGGCGCTGGCCACTTCAATGCGGGCCTGGCCACCGCAATGCAATTTCTCCCCTCCTCACTGTGGTTGGTCACTTCGCTGACCCACGGCTGGCTCGTTGCCGACACTGTCGGAGAGACTGGCACGGCATACCAGCGATGCTGCATCGTCCACCTCGCGTTCTGACGTCGAGAATTCGATTGCAGCGCCGCGGACCATCACCCTCGACCGGAGCTCTCGACCCAATCCTTTGCAGCGTTTCTCGAAGCCAGATCCATCCGTCAGGGTCCTGGGGACCGAAACAGGTCGAAAACGTCCGATGTGATTTCCACGACGCCCAGATATGAGGGATCATCGAACTCGCGGCACGATCACATTCTAGAGGAGAAGCGCGTCCGTCTCAGATGTGGGCCCCCCTGGCCTCTCATGGATCGCAGCCCGATCGGGATGTCGAGGCGGATTTTGCCGTGTGGACGAGGGCCCTCTACCATGACCAAGAAGGGTCTACAGGGGTGTCCGCGGCTCGCTCTGTTCGGTTGCGTTGCAGTGGGTTGCGTCAGGTCGGTTCGGTTCGGTTCGGTTGTTGCGTCTTTGTAAGATTCGCTCGGTGCGTCGGTTTCGATCGGCTTCGGCTTTGCTGTCGGGCCGGTCGCTTGTCGGTCCTGTTGTCACCGTGGGGCCCTACATGGTCTACGAGCAGGAACGTTTGCTTAGCGTGCCGCGCCGCCAGTTGTGGCCCTCCACGCTCCGGCGCGACACGCCACCACGTCATAGCCATCACGCGTCAACCTCCCGAGCTCGTCCCAGCCTCCCGCCCCACGGAGCGGAGCGACACGCTATCCGCTCGCAGTGCAGCGCGTGTTGATGGGGCCGCCGCCGCGACACGCTCAGCAAAAGTTCCCGACCGTAAGCCCTCCAAGTAGTTCCCGACCGTAAGCCCTCCAAGTGGATCTGAAGAGAGGCACCCGTATATCCTCCGATCTGGTTCTTTCAACTCACGGCCCCTGTGGTCTTGACCTCTTCCCAGGGGCCAGTTTTTCGTCCCGGGTCCACTTTTGATGCCGAGGAGCACCACCCGTTAACAAAGTCAGATCGTCGGATATGGTCTAGGTCCACAGACATTTCTCTACTCTCGAGCTGATCTCGGCCGCCCTGGGGAGGCAACGCCCTTCGGACGGAGTTTGGGAGATGCGCCCGCACGAGCTGAACCTGCACCCCGCCAAGCGGCGCGTCTTCGCGTCGGACTTCCAATCACTGCTGTTCCTCCGGAGGGGAAGGGGTTCTCCGGGGGGCACAGTATCTGGGCGCTGGGCGGGGGTTCGGCTGGTTCCATTCAGACTAAGATGAGATGATGCGGTAGGCGTTTCGGGGGAGCGCTCATAATTACCATATTATGTGTGGATGTGTGTGCGTATGTGACTATTCTTTCTGCGCTCCTCCTTGTGTGCCTTCTCTTCAGGCGGCCACCATGTTAGCTACACTCTTTTCCATCGTACATCTGCGGCGGACTTGTTATAATCTCCCGAGGGATGATGATGATGATGATGATGATGATGATGATGATGATGATGATGAAGATGATGATGATGATGATGATGATGATGATGATGATGATGCTGATGCTGATGCTGATGATGATGATGATGATGATGATGATGATGAGAATGAGGAGGAGCATGCGGGATGCTGATGATGCTGATGATGATGCTGATCAAGATGATGCTGACGATGATGCTGGTGATGACGATGCTGGCGATCATGCTGACGCTGGTTAACGATGATGATGACTGCTGCTGCTGATGACGATGGTGATGATGATGCTGCTGATTATGATGATGACGATGCTGTTGATGATGATGCTGATGCTGATGCTGATTGTGATGATGATCACGATGATGTTGCTGCTGCTAATGATGATGCTGATGCTGCTGATGCTGATGATGACGATGCTGATGATGATGACGGTGATGCTGATGCTGATGCTGATGCTGATGCTGAGGATGAAGATTATGCAGATAACGATTGTGATGATGATGGTGATGATGATGCTGATGATGATGATCATGCTTTCTATGGTGATGAGGCTGCTGCTGATGACGATGATGCTGAGGATGAGTCTGGTGATGGTGATGACGCTGCTGATGATGATGCTGATAATGATGATGCTGCTGATGAACATGATGGTGATGATGCTGATGATGCTGATGCCGATGATGCTGCTGCTGACGACGATGATGATCGTGATGATGATGATGATGATGCTGATGCTGATTCTGACGATGGTGATGATGATGCTGCTACCGATGATGATGACGACGATGATGCTGCTGCTGACGATGAGGATGCTGCTGCCGATGATGGTGATGCTGATGATGTTGCTGATACTGATGCTGATGCTGCTGAAGATGACGATGCTGCTGATGATGGTGATGATGATGATTTTTATTCTCTACCTAGGCTCTGCCTAGAAGGGTTCTTACTCTCTTAGCTTCAAGGGGCCGGGCAGTGCAAAGCGCCCCGGGCGGTTCCCCCAGTCCCCTGGGAGCGGTTCCCCCCAGTCCCCTGGGAGCTTTAGCTTTAGCTTTAGCTTTAGCTTTAGCTTTAGCTTAGCTTTAGCTTAGCTTTAGCTTAGCTGTAGCTTAGCTTTAGCTTAGCGTTTCGCTCAGCTTTTCGCTTAGCGTTTAGCTTAGCTAGTAGCTTAGCTAGCTTAGCTTAGCTTAGCTTAGCTTAGCTGTAGCTTAGCTTTAGCTTAGCTTTAGCTTAGCTTTAGCTTAGCTTTAGCTTAGCTTTAGCTTAGCTTTAGCTTAGCTTTAGCTTTAGCTTTAGCTTAGCTTTAGCTTAGCTCGCTTAGCTTAGCTTTAGCTTAGCTTTAGCTTAGCTTTAGCTTAGCTTTAGCTTAGCTTTAGCTTAGCTTTAGCTTAGCTTTAGCTTAGCTGTGGCTTAGCTTTAGCTTAGCTTTAGCTTAGCTTTAGCTTAGCTTTAGCTTAGCGTTAGCTTAGCGTTACTGTTACTACTAATGCTGCTTTCCTAGGGGTTCCAACTCCTAGGTAGGGTCGCACTGGGATAATTGTGCTGATGCTGATGCTGATGCTGCTGATGATGCTGATGATGATGCTGAACATGATGATGATGCTGATGCTGACAATGCTGATAGTAATGAGGCTGATGCTGATGCTGATGCTGATGCTGCTGATGATGATGCTGATGGTGCTGATGATGCTGCTGATGATGATGATGCTGAGGATGATGATGCTGATGAGGATGATGACGATGACGACGAGGATGACGACGATGATGATGATGATGATGATGATGATGATGATGACGACGATGATGATGATGATGTTGTTGATGATGATGATGATGATGATGATGATGCTGCTGATGATGATGATGCTGAGGATGATGATGCTGATGAGGATGATGACGATGACGACGAGGATGACGACGATGGATGACGACGATGATGATGATGATGATGATGATGATGATGATGATGATGATGATGATGATGATGATATGATGATGAGATGATGATGATGATGATAATGATGATGATGATGATGATGATGATGATGATGATATGATATGATGATGATGCTGATGGAGGGGAAGGAGGAGGAGGAGGAGGAGGAGGAGGAGGAGGAGGAAGAGAAGGGAGAAGGAGGAGGAGGACAGGAGGAGGAGGAGCAGGAGGAGGAGGATGATGAGGAGGAGGAGGTGGAGTTGGAGGAGGAGGAGGAGGAGGAGTAGGAGGAGGAGGAGGAGAGGAGGAGAGGAGAGAGGAGGAGGCGGAGAAGGAGGAGGAGCGGGGAGAGGAGAAGAGGAGGAGAGGAGGGAGGAGGAGGAGGGAGGAGGAGGAAGAGCGGCGCGAGCGGCGGAGGAGGGGAGGCGGAAAGGAGTGGAGGAGGAGGAGCAGGGTCGATTGTCGAGGGTCGAGCGACGAGGGTCGAGGATCGAAGGTCGGGGTGGGGGCTGGTGGCAGCGCCCTGGGGGCGCAGGGGCCACGGCTTCGACTTCAACGCCTTCCTCGACAGCGGCCACCCCGTGGGGCGGCTCCCGGCCCGGGGTTCCGAGGGGCGCGGGCGCCGGGGCCTGGGGCCAGCGCAGGCCTCCCAGGCGGTCCCCTCGGGGGGGGTGTGCTTTGCTGGGGAGGAGGGGGGGGGGGGGAAGGAGGGATGGGGAGAAGGGGGAGGAGGGGGGGCGCCCCCCGCCTTAGCGTCAGGCGTCAGCCAGAAAACCCTCGGCCGCGGGGAGGATGCGCAGGCCGGGCGCTGGAGGGCCCGCCTGCGAGTAGGTGCCCGTGGTGGGCGCGCGGCCCCGACAATGTGGGTAGAGCGGAGCAGAGCAGAGCGGAGGGGGAGGAGGGTGAGGGGAAGAGGAATTGGAGGAGGAGGAGGAGGAGGAGGAGGAGGATTTGGCGGAGGAGGAGAAGGAGGACCAGTGCAAACCCAAGAGTCATCAACGATGTTGGAGTAAACCCTCCCTCCAAGCGCCCTCCTCACGGACGCCTACAACGGTTCATTTCGATTGATGGAACTGCCGCGTTGGAAGACGCCCGTTTGAAGGCCCTGAAGCATGTCAAACCATTGTTCTCGGGATTCGAACGCCACGGATCAACCTGACTGTTGCGTCTTGACGATCCTGAAGCGTGCCAGAAAGCCATTCCTAGGATTTCAACACAGAGAACCAACGTAACTGTTGCGCCCGTATAATCTTGAATCCTTCCAAAACACCATTTCTGGTACGTTGATATGGGAATACGTGAAACTCTTGTTTGACATTTTGTAAACGAATGTGCGCGACGCTAAGGCGAGAGCCACATTTCGAAAAGGAGCCGCCTTCAATCCGTGAAACCCTTGCAAATTTTGAAAACGAATGCGCGCCGCGCTAAGGCGAGATTCACATGTTGAAAACCACTCGCCCTCAGTCCGCGAAGCTCTTGCAACTTTTTGACAACGTATGTGCGCCGCGCTAAGGCGAGAACCACATTTTGAAAAGGAGCCGCCCTCAATCCGTGAAGCTCTTGCAACTGTTAAGAATGATTGTGCGCGGCGCTACGGCGAGAGCCACCCATTGAACACCATTCGCCCTCAATCCGTGAAGCTCTTGCACATCTTGAACGCGAATGAGCGCGAATGTGCGCCGCGCTCGTTTAAAAAGGAACAGGGATGGAGGAGGAGGAGGAAGAGAAATAGGAGGGAGAAGTAGGAGGCAGGGGGGATAGGGGTGACAGTGGCGGAGTGGGGTGGCTTCCTTTCTCCGTTCTCCCCATTAGCGCCCTCCCTGCCGCACCACCAGGTGTGCCGTTGTTAGGGCGGGCGGGCCAGGTGCCCCGCCTGAACTTCAAACACGATTCATCACCTCGAAGCTTGGCATGTCCACCGTTTTTCAAGAATAGAGCACAGGGCGTTTTCAAAATTGCGCCTTGGCGCCGCAGGCATCCGTCTAACCTTTGCGGCAGCTGCGGTTGGGAACCTTTGGTTCGCGTGTCGCTCGCCATGCTTCGACGCGACACGCTGTCCACGTCGTGGTCCCCAGACGTGAACGGCCCGTGCCTTTTCGAATCTCCCGGCCCGCGGAGCGCAGCGACACGTTATCCGCTTGCACGGCACAGCGCGTCGCCGGGACCGCCGCCGTCACACGCAATGCAACAGTTCCTGACCTTGCACGAGTTGAGCTCAGGTCCGTTTCATCAAGCGGGGCGTTCGCATTCTGTCCGCGCGCGCACGTCTTACAACATCTGCAGCAGTTACGCGGGTTGAAGGCGGGTGTTTTTTTTTAACGGGTCTCTCGTTTCGGACTTGCACATTCTTGCTGAAGGCCTGATGAAAGACGGCTCGTTGCTTTACAATGAGGCAACCGCAGGGAATTCCATTTAGTATTTAGAGGGTCCGATGGTTCAAACATTTATACGGATAGCAGGTGGTTCGTTTCAATATTTCCCAACTGTGCTTGTCTGAAGGGTTCTTACTTGGTTAAACACTGGTGCCTCCTATTCTTACGTTGCCTGTTCCCCGGAGGTTCCCCAGGTTCCTCGGGTTCCTCGGGTTCCCCGCCCCCTGTGTCTCTTGATCGTACGTTTCCTGTTCCTCGGAGGTTCCTCGGGTTCCCCGGTTTTCCTCGGGTTCCCCGCCCCCAGTGCCTCGTATTGTTGCGTTGTCCGTTCCTCGGAGGTTCCTCGGGTTCCCCAGTTTCCTCGGGTTTCCCGCCTTGGTTGTTGGTGTTGTTTCCCAGCATTGCCAGGCAACGCCAAGCAACGTCAAGCAACGCCAAGCTGCGCCAAGCAGATCAGAGCAGTGCAAAGCAACGCCAAGCAATGCCAAGCAACGCCAGAAACGCCAAGCAACGTCAAGCAATGCCACGCAACGCCAAGCAATGCCAAGCAATGGCAAGTAAGGCCAAGCAGTGCCAAGCAACGCCAAGCAATGCCAAGCCGTGCAAAGCAACGCCAAGCAATGCCAAGCAACGCCAAGCAACGCACCGCAACGCTAAGTAATGCCACGCAACGCCAACCAGCTCCAAGAAATGCCAAGCGATGCAAAGCAATGCCAAGCAATGCCAAGTAGGTCAACGCAGTGCCCAAGCCATGGCAAACACTTCCCAGCATTGTCAAGCAATGCCACGAACCGCCAAACAACGTCACGCAATGCCAAGCAATGCAATACACTGCCAATCAACGTAATGCGATGCAATGCAGTTCTAAGCAACGCTGCTTAGGAAGCGTTCCCCCAAATCTGTGTTACGAAAACGTGGTAAGTGTGCAGCGCTTGCATGGATGGATGGCAGGCGCATGAAACAACCGCAGCTGTCGCTGGATACTGCCTGGAGCATTATGGCCCTACCTCTTTGCACGTCTTGTATTTGGAGCGATGGAAAGTGGGTGCTTCCCGAAACATTGTTAATCGACTCAGTGGTAGCACCACGGGGCGTTCGTCTGGTCAAGGGGAACGCTCCCCGCACTGGAAAGGAATACTTGCATGAACTCGAGAATGGGACTGGTGAAGGGAGGGCGTATTTCAGCATCGTTGATGCATCTTGATGGTCGTCGTAGTGTGATGGTCATCCTCCCTCCTCCTCGTCCTCCTCCTCCTCCTCCTCCTCCTCCTCCTCGTCCTCGTCCTCCTCCTCCTCATCCTCCTCCTTCTCCCCCTTCTCCCCCTCCTCCCCCTCCTCCCCCTCCTCCCCCCCTCCCCCTCCTCCCCCTCCACCTCCTCCTCTTCCCCCTCCTCCCCCTCCTCCCCGTTCTCCACCTCCGCCAACACCATGCCAGGGCCCGCGATGGCCCTGGCCGGGCACTGTGGTGGTGTCTCGGGGCCCGCTGCGTGCCCAGCCCCCTCCTCCAGCTTCGCTTCCCAAGCATTTTTTTGTTCGCCCCTCTCCCCCCCACCACGGAGGATGATGAGGAGGAGGACGATGAAGGACGATTCAGGATGAAGGCAGCAGCGCTCTAGGATCGGATGGCGAAGCCTATCGAGTTGGCAAACAGAAACTGCACTATGGCTTCTGCATGTAAGATTCTAGTCCGCCAAGAAGCATGCAGAGACGGACGGCACGAACGTGAAAATGCGAAAACGCCGTTTTCCAGACACCCTGTGCCCGGGCGGCGCGGGCGGAGGATGATGAGGAGGAGGAGGCGGAGGAGGAGGAGGACGAGGAGAAGCAGGAGGAGGTGGAGGAGGAGAAGAAGGAGGAGGAGGGGAGGAGGGGGAGGAGGGAGGAGGAGGTTGGAGGAGCCGTCCAGGGGAGCGACTGAACAAAACAGGACCGATTGCGAGGACACTCGCGCGTGAGTTGCGCACGCGTAAGGCCGCGCGTCAGCGCCTTCGTTCCCAATGTGGCGTGCCATGCTGTCGGCCCACGTTAGCCATCCCGTGAGGTCGCTATGTCTCCTCGCGAACTTCGCGAGGAGACACAGACACAGCGGCGAAAACAAGCGGGCCTTTCAAAGGCCAGTTTGGTTTCGTCGTTCAGGTGGTGCAGGCCCTGCGCGACGCGGGCACGCCGCTGGTAGTCCACAACGGGTTCCTGGACGTGCTGCACGTGTACGGCAGCTTTGTCGGGCGCATCCCGGACGCCCTGCCGGCCTTCTGCGAGGCCTGGTCGCGGAGAGAGTGGGGTTTCTAAAGGAAGGGTGTCCCAGACCTCCTTGGCCACGCGCAGAGTGGGGTAGGGGGAGGGGGGAAGGCTGCTTAGAAGCACCCCTGCTTCTAAGAAGCCGTCCCCCCTCACCCTACCCCCTTGTGCGCGTCGCCAGGGGCGCATTGAAGATTACACTGCCCTGATTCTTTTTTCACGTCTGGCGTTTTTCGCACAGGGCGTTTTCGGGCACCATGGCCATCAGAGGCGCTTCAGTCCGAGGAATGCCGCAGCACGAATGGGTCTGGGGCTTTGGTCGGGATTTCCCGTCATGCCGCACTTCTTTCGCAGCGTGAGGAGCTGCGGGTGCACCGAGGCTGTCCGCACGAGGCCCGTCACGGCTGGGTTCCTCTCGAGACTCTGGCCAGGAGAGGCCCTGGGCTCGACCCCCGAACCCAGGCCGCCTCGCGCCGCGAAGCCGTACTCCAGATTTCGTAATAAAAGGGAGGGGGTCTGGACCCTCCAAGACAAGCCATTTCAGACCTCCCCCGTGGGAGAACCCTCCAAAACATAGTCCCCAGACCCCCCCAGGCCCTCCAAGATAGCTTGAAAAAGACCCCCCCGAAATGAACCCCCCCTCCCTTTTATTACGAAATCTGGAGTATCCAGTGTGCTTGCCCGAGGTCGGCCTCATGGGGGCTTCTGCCGGGCCCCGGGGGGGCCGTCGGAGCACGGCTCGGGAGGAGAGGGCGGCCCCCGGGGAAAGGGCCGGGACTCCCAGGGGCCCCGTGCGGACAAGGGCCAAGGCGTTGGAGGTCTGGGGTCCCGGAGGCCGCTCGCCGCAGCTCGGAACGCGGCAGGTCGGGGCGGCCCGGCCGTTCCAGGAAGGGCTTCGCCCTCGGCGCGACTCGCCTTCGGCGGAAACCGGCAGAAGGCCGGCGAAAGCCCGCAGAAGCAAAACGGCGGCAGCCCACGGCGAAAGCAGACACGAGACGTCAGCATTTTTGTCTAATGGTTGCTGGAGTCGGACCTGGGCCCTGCGACCGTCCAGACACCAGTCATGGTGAACATATTTCAGGAGCGGAAGAAGGACGTTGTCGTACATGAACCCACGCTGGTTTCGAGAGTACGCATTGCGCAGACGTTCGTATAACGCGGCCAGTCTGGCGGATCGGGGGGCCGTGTTCATGTAAATTGCTGGGCGCGTGCGTCCTTTGTGGGCTCCCTCACACTGTCCCTTCCCAAGACATCATACGACGCGTTTTTTTGTTTTTTCCGTTCCCAAAGCGCGCCCATCGCCGCTTCCGTGCCGGGGGCAGTTGTTCGCCCCTGAGATGGTTGTGCCTTTCCTGGGCCACCAGATGCCGAAATCGAAGGCAGGCGCCTGTATTGAAAACACAGTTTGTCCGAGGTCTGGATGTCAGTCATGCCAAGAGGCGTGGCTGTCGCAGTTCCCGCTGCTCTTCGACACCCGCCTCATCGCGACGGAGGGCCGGTACACGGTGCTGCAGGGCGCGGGCGGGTCCATCGCGCTGGAGCGCGCAGCGGGAAATCCAACGCGCAACAAGAGGCTTGCTTCGAAGGTTTGGGCAGCTTTTCAGGCAGGTACGCATCAAACGTGACGGTTTCTGTCCGCACCAGAGGACGAGCCGAGACGAAGCGCCGGCCCCGTGCAGGATGGAGTCGAGAGCTCTGGGGCCCACGCGTGGAGGCTTGGGGATGGTTGGCCTTCCGCACAAGCAGGGGAGCCAAACACAGACACACACATACACAGAGACACGCACAGAGACTCACAGAGACTCACAGAGACACACAGAGACACGCAGAGACACAGACACACAGAGACACACAGCATCTGGCCCTCGAGCTTCAGCAGCACCTGCGTTTTCGCGGCGAGCCTGCACTCGGCCTCCTCCGTTCCTTCCTTGAGCTTGGCGATGGCCTCCTTCTTTTCTTTGTAGCAGCAAACTTATTGAAATGGTCACACTTCGCCTTCTCGATGCCCAGCTTGGTGGACGGCGGACGCAACTGGACTGCAATTGCTTGGAACGCCGCTGGGCAAGCAACACAGACTTCTCTTCGGCCAAAGCAGCGGCTCGGACCTCGAAGCCTGGGACGGTCGCACGCCTTGCATGTATTCTCTCCTCTGCTTCGACCTTCGCAGCAAGCTCCTCATCCTCCTGCTCCGTGCTACCCGCACTGGAAGGATGAGCGACTCTCCAAGGTTACCCTTGCATCCTTCACCTTCGGCCCGTCCGTGGCCGCTTTCGCTGGCCGCGCCCCTCTCGCAAAATGTCGGCATGGCCTTCCAAGGCCCCTGCATCCTGATCGTGCGTCCGTATTGTGCGGGTTGACTCTACCCCCTTCTGCCCCCGAGCCCGATCCCAAGACGATCGAGGGCCGCGACCCAGGGGCCGCCGTTCCCCTCTCGAGCTTGACGGCGGAGTTCAACGACTTCGACACGGAGCTTGGCCAGCTATGAGCCTGTGCGGTCGCCCTTGGCCCAAGGTGGTGTTCTGCGGAACGAGGGGGCCTTAGGCTCGACAACCTGGAGGAGACATCTGCCTTATGCATTTCCCCACATCCATCCTCGTCGAGGCCTGCACAGTACAAAGGATTACCAGATTGCTGAGTGTAACAGCAGCACAGCCAATCCTGCTTCGTAGCTTGCTTCGCCTCTGCGATTGCCGTGATGCTGAGCTGGCAGCGCATGGCCTACCGCACGGAGGTGTGTGCGTGGCGAGAGGGTTTCGCACCCCGAAAGCTTTGGAGTCTATCCTCCGACCAGCGGTATCCACATGTTCCCCTGTAGAACCCATCGTCTTGAGCCAACATGGCTGATGATGATGATGATGATGATGATGATGATGATGATGCTGATGCTGATGCTGATGCTGATGATGATGCTGATGATGATGATGATGATGATGATGATGATGGTGGTGCTGATGATGATGATGCTTCTGTTGATGCTGATGCTGATGCTGATGACGACGATGCTGTTGATGACGATGCTGATGCTGCTGCTGATGATGCTGCTGCTGCTGATGATGATGATGATGATGGTGATAAGGGGGAGGAGGAGGAGGGATACAGTCAAGACGCCGGAAGAAGGACCACTTTGGGCTCAGAAGGGCGATAACGGGGCATGTCTCGTGGAGCGTCTCGCGCGACGCGGGGGCGCCTCCCTCATCTTGCTTCCCTCTCTTTCTGGGGCTTGCCTCTGCGGAGGCAGGCCACCGTCCTGCATAGTCGCAGCGTGCAGTAGGTTCGCGTCGTGTCGAACGACGGCGACCCCACCGCCGGCGCTCAGCGTTGAACGCCGCAGGCGACCCAGAATCGGTCGATGTTGAAAGATTTGACGTTCCGAACAACAACACAAGCCCGTGCAAACGGAGCGCTAGTACACGGGGCGGTAGTAAGGGGCCTCTTCAAGCGAGAACGGGGTGACAGAGCATTTACCTCGCACAAGTGAGTGATACATCGGAGCGACAAAAACGTCGATACATGGTATATCATCAAAACGCTAGGCGGGGGGGGGTTACCTCGCACTTATGCGCGGCAGATCAATGTTTGAAAACACCTTTGAAAGCTCACCCTTAGCTACCAGCCCGTTTACGAACGCACCGCAGGGCCGATCGTTCAAGGTCGACCGATCCCCGCGGTGTCGGGAACAGCGGCCGAAGTCGCACGGCACGAGCCTGCCGTACGCGCTTAGTCCGTCGCAGCGCCTCCGGCAGGCTCGCACCGCGCCGACGCGGCGCGTCGATCTCGGCGCGGACGTTCAGGGCGGAACGCCGCAGACGGCCCGGGGTCGGCCGACATCGACCGAGCTGCGCCGTCGGATCGGGAGGCCACGTGCGAGCCCTGCCCCACCATCCCACGATTTCTAAGGGGGAGGTGGCGTTCACTGCGTTCGGGACCTCCCCAGCGAAGTGAACGCCACCTCCCCCCTCAGAAGTCGTGGGGTGGTGGGGTAGGGTTCGCATGTGGCCTCCTACGGATGCCCTCGCTCGTGCAAGCTTGGTTGATCCACGCGGCGGCAGTAACCAGCGCCAACGTCGTCACCACACGAACCTGCCGTGCGATCAAGACGCTGGGATAAGGTCGGGCGCCGAGAAATATGCACACGTGGCACGTGCACCGATCCTGGCCAGGTCCATCCTGCCTGGGCCCAGGACTGGTGCCTATGCCTCCCTCGCCGAGCCGGGAGGGCGTGTGCACCGATCCTGGGCCAGGGATGGGCCTGGCCAGGATCGGTGCACGTGCCTATTCCTCTTTCCTTCAGTGAGGGGCTCTGGTTCTCCGGTCGCTCTGCAGTCTTCCGGTCGGGAACTCTGGCTCGGCGTGCTGCGCGGACGGTTCTGGCCCACCGCGCCTCGGCGCGACACGCCAACCACGCCCGGGTGCCCGAGCGGCAACGTCCGATCGGGGCTCCAGGGACGGGGATCAGTGCAGACGAGGGTCAGTCAGGGCGTCTGATCTTGCAGGATCCTGCGGCGCCAGGGGTGCGCTGAGCCAGATTTGAGTGCAGGATCCTGCAAGGCCCGGCTGGGGTCTGGATTGACCCGGGTCCGTAGGTCCCTTTATCCGAGCTTCTCCCAGCCTCCGCGCCGTCCGCCTGCAGGGCGTGGCGTGGCGCCAGGATCGCCGCCGCGACACGCTAAGCAGAAGTGCCCGACCGCAGGTCGGGGAAGCTGCTCGTGGCCAAGGACCGCCTTGGCCAGAAGAGCGCCTTCGCTCCTTGTTCAGCGCTCCCTCTGGCAGCACGATGGCCGTATCGGAGGGCCGCGATCGTGCAAGGTTGAACGGTCTGCTCGGTGTCAGTACGGTGGGGGCTTTCGTTCAGGAATGGGTCCAGAAGCCTTCAGACCCTGGATGATTCCCCATCTGATGAGGGCCGCGGTGATATTCACGACCAAGTCTCAGTCGGTGTTCCACCAGCTTCTGGACCCTTTACCCCCAGAGGTCTAGACAGGTTCCCTAGGGCTGTTTTTTTCCGTCCCGAGTCGTTTTTTGACAGTCCTGGGGCCCGCTGAGGACCCACGGAGGTCGAGAACTCCCGCCAAATGGCAGCTCCAATTTTTTAGGAGCCTCGGATCTCTGAGTTGCCCTCGCCGTAACCGACGCCGAAGTCGTCACGACATGAATCTACCGTATGCAGCGCTTGCGTTTTTTTGGCGTTGCGGTCATGCGCGCGGCGGCGCGGCGTAGGCAGTCGAGACGGAGAACGCGCGCAACCGGGCCAGATCACTCGGCGCTGGGACCATGGATCCGGCCACAGGGGATCCCCGGGGTCACTCGAGGTGGGCGGCGAGGGGAGGGGGAGCAAAAGGGAGGGGGGGGGAGAGTGGTGGCCAGTGGAGGCGCGCAGCGCAAGGAGCAAGAAGGGCGCAGCGCGCACGTGCCAGGGCACTCCGACGGAGGGGGGGAGCAGCAGACAGACGGCCCGACCCCTGCTGCCAGAGGAGCCGCTCCACCAGCACTTGGCCGCCCTGCCCGTGGTCTCGGATGCCGTGCGCTTCGAGCGCGTCGGCGGCCTGCTGCCCGCGGGCAAGATGGTGGCCCACGGCTCCTCGGGCTACGACGCGCTGCTGACCGCGGAGGCCTCCCGCCCGCCCCCCCCCCCCCCTCCAAGATGGCATTCCGGCGATCGACTCCCCCCGAGTTTGCCATTTCATCACCTTCGGGGGAGCACGCTGAGGCTGCGAGCCAGAGTAGGCACGTTTGTTTTTTTTGCACCCATTCCCATTTATGGCGGCTTCGGGTGGGGATCGGGCAACGTCGAAAGGTCATGGGCAGCTCGTGTGGGACTATGGTTGGGACCGTGCTATTTCCAAGTAGCGTTCTCCTCCTTGGGGTGCGAACGGCGCTCGTGACAGCGACGACGATGGCTCCCGCCCGCACGCCCCCACCCTCCCCCGCACTCTCCAAGATGTCTGGGGCGTCGCGGGACAGAGAAGCGCTATGGCAGGTTTCTCTGAAATGTTGGTCTCCTCCTCCGGCCCCCGCTGGCCATGATTTGCGCCCCCGCCCCTCTTGGACGCCCCCTTTGTGGACGCCCCCGACTTTGCGCAACCGAGGCCTTCGGTCCGTTTGATCCTTCCTCCTCCTCCTCCTCCTCCTCTTCCCCCTGGTTCCTGGTTCCTGATGGCTTGAATCTTCGGGTCCTGCCCTCCTCCTCCTCCTCCTCCTTCTCCCCCTCCCCCTCCTCCACCTCCTCCTCCTCCTCCTTCCGTAGCCATTTTGGCTCAAGGCCAAAATGGTGTTCATTTCACTGCCGATCTGGGGTAGGCTCCCACAGCTTTCAGTGCTCTTCGTATCTGCAGCCACACTCACGGGCGAGCTGCCGCCCACCGCAGCTACACTCAGGGGCGAGCTGCCGCCCAGTCCATATTCCTCCCTTGCGTGGCTCGCGAGAGCTCCCTGGGAAGCAGTGGGACGATGGCCGCCGCAGACCGCGGTGGAGGGACCGCCCCTGCCGACGGAGGAGCTGCCGCCAATGGCGGCACCAGGCCGCGACGTGCACGCCCTGAAGGTGGACGAGGCTCGCCAGCAAGGTTCGCTGGCCAGTACACGGTCTGCAAGCAGTGCCGATACCGATGGACGTGGAAGGGGAAGTCCGAGTGCTTCTACTGTGGCAAGCAGCTGGCCCCATCACCGGCCGAACACCGCCAGCCCACAGGGGCGTGGGCAGGAGTCAGCAAGCCACCGCCGTGGAAGGAACAGCCAGTGGCCGCCGCCCCGTCCAGGGACGCCATCCTCGCCACGCTCAGCACGTTCCTCAGCGACACCAAGCACGCCGAACTCGTCGGCAACCTCAAGGACGCCCTCCCTGGCCGCACTGCAGAGCAGGTGCTCCAGTCGGCGCTGTCAGTCCTCACAGACACGGAGAAGAAGTTCAAGCAGTCGGTCGACGACGTCGAGGCCGCCAAGCAGTGGTACGACGACGCCGTGGCCAAACAAGAGCAAGCCGCCCTGGACCTCGTCCAGGCACAGAACGCATGCGCCAAGGCGCAAGCGGACCACAGCGCCAAGCTTGCTGGAGCTGCACGCGGAGCACCACCAGTGGGGCCTCAGGAAACCTTCAAGGTCGACAGCTCTATGTGGGACGACCTCTCCATCTACGACGAGGGCACCCGCGCCCAGATGGAACAGTGGAAGCAAGAGCTCGACCAGCGCCTGGCCGAGCTCATCAATGGCCAAGAAAAAGTACGTGAACTCCTGCGCCAAGCCAAGGAGTCCACCACCAACCCTGCGAAGCGGAAGAAGCCGAGTGGGGAGGAACCAGCTGCTCAGCAACCTCATCCTGAGCCTGCTCCCGCTTCACCAGAGGAACAGCAGCCAGCGGCCGCGCCTGGAGGACAGGTACAACCTGGCACGCCAGGAGGCTCTGCCGCCCCACCTGCTGAGCCACGCCAGCCTGGAGGGGCCCCTGGACCCGCTGCAGCCGCCCCTGCCGCCGACGAGCCCTCCGCGGAGGACCGCAAGGCCGCCGCCGAGCTCATCGCCACCGCCACCAGGGCCAGGGAGCTGGCCCACGCAGCTAAGGGCTTGGGCAAGGGCGCCACCATGGCGCCAGTGGCAGCGGCAGGAGCCCCACCGTCGCTGGGGTAGCCGCAAGCGGCCGCAGCGGCCGAGGGGGCCTGGGAACCGCGCCAGTGGGTTCCTCACGGCAGGAGCACCCGCCCCTAAGCCCGAGCAGGCAGCGCAGATCTTGTTCGGAAACATAACGGCGCGGGGCCCGCAGGCTGCCAACTTCTGTCGCAACGCAGGCTTCAAGTACCACCTCATAGCGCTGGCGGAGACGCACGTCGACGCGAACGGCCTCGCGGAGCAGATTGGCAAGCTCGCCGTGGATGGCTGGAAGCTGTCGGCCACGCCCGCGGTGGCCACCGACAAATCGGACAAGGGGACCCATGGCGGCGAGAGGATCCTCACGCGCAGGGGCGTGGCGGCGACCACGTTCGAGGGCTACAGGGACTACTACGTCAAGCGCCGCAAGAGGCAGCCGTTCGTGGGCTTCACGCCGACAGTCCTCCACTCCAAGAGCGGCAACATAGTCGTCCTAGCGGCGTACCTGCGCCCTGGCCTACGGGGCCAAGGCGCGAACAGGGACATCCTGGTCTCCATCTCCACCTTCGTGGACATGCTCATGGACCCGTGGATCATCCTGGCCGACTGGAACTACGAGCCGCACTGGTGGGACAATAAGCCGTGGCTCACGCGATGGAACGGCACCGTCCTCACCGACCCGAGCTGCGAGGCGACGTGCGACAAGGGCTCGGGCTCCGTGTGCGATTGCGCGATCGTACGGGCGGACATCGCCACGCACGTCGGGGTCGAGGCCATCTACGGCGTCCCCTGGAAGACCCGCTGCGGCATCCAGATCACGGTGGGTGCCGCCGGGCCGTGGCAGTACAAAGCTATAAAGGTTCCCAAAGCTCTCCCCGCGCGAGCCAGGCCCAAGAAGGTCGCGGACCCGAGCAGCAGAAGGTCCAAGGCTCGTGCGGAGGCGTTGCGAACCAGGAGGGAAAGGCTACCAGAGCACTTGCGCGACGAGTTCGACGCCCTCTACGTCAACCGCGAGACGGCCAAGGAGGACCCCACCCCCTTCGTCATCCCCCAGCAGAACTGGGACGCAGCCGCCGACGAGGTCAGCAACTTCCCGAAGTTCAATGGCGCAAAGGTCGGCACCAAGGGGGGCAGAGGACACATCTTCCACAACCGTGCGCCGAACCTCGCGGAGAACATCAACTCGGAGTACGCGCAGTGGATCGCGACCCTGGAGCTCGCCTTCCTGGAGACGCACGCGGTCCCCGTCGAGGACAGGGCCAGGTACCAGGGCAGGGCAGAGGGGTACAGGACCACCGAGCAGACGATGAAGGCGTCGCCTGGCAGAGCGTACCTCAAGGACCCCGAGGCTACATGGTGGCAGCACCTCAGCACCCTCGTGGCGAGGTACACCGCGCTGGTCACCAACGGCAAGGACCCCAAAGCCCGCCAGCACATCCACAAGACAGTCATGAAACAAAGCTGGACGACCTAGAGAACCCTGAGTTCCCCAAGGAGCACTTCGGTAGGAAGACCGACCCGAAGGGGATCGAAGAGTGGAAGACCCAGCTCGTTACCCTCGAGCACTGCGGCGTGGCTGACCTGCACCGCATCTGCGCCGCCACCATGGAGTGGACCCACAAGGCCATGGCGAGAGCTGCAGGCAGAGCGCGAAAACGGCATCTCGACTGGGCGAAGCAGGCGTGGAAGGACTCACCAGGCAAGCTGCACCGCATGGTCACTGACCCCAAGGCGCCGCGCCTGGAGGACAAGCAGCCTCAGAGAACGGTGGGCGACCCATCCACGCTCATGAACCACTCTGCCGACACCTGGCGTTCCATCTGGGCGTCCGACAGCTACAGCGCCAAGCGGATCATCAGCGCATGCGAGAAGGCCATGCGGCTCGCGAAGGAGCACCCCCTCCTGCTAATCGAGCCGCAGCACATACAGGCCATCGTGGGCACCGCCAATCCGAGGAAGGCGAGAGGAGTCGACAACATCGGCCCCATCAACATCCATAGGCTTCCCGAGAAGGGGATCCAGGAGCTCGCCGAGATCTACAACCAGGTGGAGACCAACGGACTGTGGCCTCATTAGCTCTGCGCCACCATAGGGGCCATGGCCCCCAAGCCCGCAGGTGGAGAGAGAATCTTGGGCATGCTCCCCACAATCCCCAAGACGTGGGCCAAGGTCCGCTCCAGTGTCACCGACGAGTGGTCCAAGGAGCTCGGGGAGTTCTGGGACACCGCCATCAAAGGCTCCAGCGCCTTATGGGCAACGCTAGTCAGGGCGCCCCTTGACGAGACGGCGGCGACCTTTGGCATTGCTTTCGCGACCTTGCTGATGGACGTAGAGAGGTTCTACGACTCGGTCTGCTACGCGGCCCTCTTCGACGCCGCGATCGGGGCCAACTTCCCCCCGATCGTCGTGGCGCTGGAGGTGCAGCTCTACATCGCGCCCAGGTACTTGCGGATGCACGGCTGGGTCAGCGACATCATAGACGCCGAGAGGTCCATAGTCGCGGGCAGCTGCAATGGCGGCAAGCTCGCCAAGGTCTACCTGGGGCCGATCCTGCAGAGGGCCCACATCAACCACACGTGCGCTGGCCTGTGGACGTTCGTGGACGACACGGTCGCGAGAACAGAGGGCCAAACCAAGCAGGTCATCAGGGATCTCATCGGGGTTGGCGCCGACCTATTCGAAGGTGTGACGGGTGCGGGGCCCCGAGTCTCCCCCAAGACCACCGTCGTCGCCTCCAGCCAGACGATCGCCTCCTCAGTGCACGACGGCCTCAAGAAGAAGGGCCACCACGTCAAGGTGGCCAACAGCGCGGTCGACCTCGGCATTGACGTGGGAGGCGCCAAGAGACGGGTTGTCGTCAAGGCAGTCAAGAGGGTCAGGACTGCGAGGAGGCGCACTCACCGCATCGTCGCCAAGGTCAGGAAGCACGCCTCCCTCGCCAAGATCGCGAAGGGCCTGTGGAACACGGGGTCCATGCCACGGGGGACCTACGGTCACCAGATCATGGGCCTCGCCCCAGCGGCCATCCTCGACCAGAGGCGCCAGGCCGTCCAGGCTTCGGCGGGGAAGGTCCCTGGCCGTTGTCTCTCCACAGCCCTCGCCGTCGTCATGGGGAAGAAGGGCCCCGCCATCGAGCTCAGGCGCCAGTCGATCGCCGAGTGGCTCAACGTCTGGATGCAGTACCCAGAACACCACAGCCGGGCCACGCAGGCGTGGAAGCTGATCTACGACAAGTCGATCAAGCGCGGCAGCAAGAAGTGGAGGAAGGTCAAGGGGCCCATTTCCGCCAGCCAGGCCATCCTCCTGGACGCAGGCTGGACCTGCCCGACGCCAGCGGAGTGGTCACGACCTCCGTGGGCAGGCGGGACCTACACCCAGGAGTGGCAGCTACCCCACAGTGGACACGCCGACTGGGAGGACAAGCGCTATGACGTGGGCCCTGCGGAGTTCGTCCACGAGTTCTGCCTGTCCCTCGAGAGGAGCCTCTGGAGGGATGCTGCCAAACATCCACATGGAGAAGGCTTGCAACGGGGGGCCCAGACGTCCACATAGTTGCCAACGAGATGGAGAGGTTTACGAGGAAGGGCCAGTACGACCAGGCGGCCCTCAACCTCTGCGTGGTCGCGGGGGCGCAATGGCCCAGAAGCCGACTCATCGAGGCGGGGTGCAACGCTACTCCAACCTGTCTGAGGCGCGGCGGGGCCGACGAGACGCTCATGCACAGGGTCTGGCTGTGCCCCTGCAACCGCGACCACGAGGACTACACGGATTCTGACGCCCTCATGCCCTCTGCCCTGGCTGGAGCAGAGGCTGCCCCCGCATGCTGGCTCCGCGGCCTGCCTGCGCGCGCTGACACGCACCCGCTCTTTGCCTCGTTGGGAGGGGACGGCGGGTGGAGCTGGGTTGGGCGGGACTGGGAGGATTGTGTCAGCAGCGACGGCGCCCTCACTCTCTTCGGGGACGGCTCTGGAGGTCAGCGCAGTGATGACCCACGACGCCGGAGGGTGGGGACCGCCTGTGCTGCTATGAAGTGCCTCTTCGGGGAGTGGGTCCCCTGGGGAGGCATCATTTCAGGCCTCGAGGGCCCCTTTCAGGCTGTGCCTCGTGCTGAGCTGCTGGCTTTCGCGCTCGCCATAGAACACTGGGAAGGCGACCTCTGTTTTATCACAGGCCACCTCCCGTTACATGACGGATGGCGGTCGAATCGACACTTGCGCCCCCGCGATGGCGCAAATCAGGATTTGTGGGCACGTATTGCCAAAGCAATTCGCGCACGTGGCACTAGGCAGCTTTCTGTAATCTGGGTGCCCTCACACAGCGAGGAGTCACGTGGCCTCGCCTCGGACCCTGTGCGATACTTTCACACTATCGGTAACGCGACGGCCGATGCATGGGCAGGGGTAGCGGCCCAACAGTCCTACGAGGCTGCGCTCGTAGGACAAGCCCCTCCCACAGACCTTCACGATGCCCAGTGCACCCTCATCCGCAGGAGGGCGCGCCGAGCCCTAGCTGACACGCTTGCAGTCGACCCCTGGGTGGCGGAGCGACCCTCGCAGGCCAAAGGCCCGCGCCTCACCAAGCTGCAGCTAGCCATGCAATCGAGCCAGCACGCCTTTGAGCTCAGAGCGGGCAAGTACCTCTGCTCTCGGTGCGGGCTCACCACTGACAAGTGTAAAGTACGCCAGGCCTGTGCCACGCCGTGCACCCACCAGCCGCCCCTTCCGTCTGCCAGTGACCAGATAGTGCCAGTACAGGGCACCATCACCATTGCTGGCCGCGAGCTGCACGCCAGCCATAAGCTTCATTTCATGCAGAAGTACCGCCTGTACTTCTGCCGCGGGTGCGGTAAGACGGCTACTGAGGACCCACGCCACCTCGCCGCACCCTGCGCAGGTATTACCAAGAAAGGGCGAGAGAACCTCGCCAATGTTGACAAGGGAGAATTCACTCGCGCCCACGCTGGGCGCGATGGCCTTACCAAATTCCTGCGCGCAGCTACCCACGGCATGGCCGTGGAAGAAATATCAGCTGCCGCCGCGCCTGCCGCTGCATGCGCCGCTCACGGCCAGGGCTAGAATGCGTTTGGCATCGCCCGAACTTCGCACCTGGGTGCGCTCGGTCTGTTCCTCTGTTCCTCCTCCTCCTCCCCCTCTTCCTCCTTCATTCCTTTTCCTTATACATATTTTCTCCCTGTCTCACCCCGAGGCCAGTTTTTAGGGCGGGCCGGGCGTTTCGCCTGAGACTTCCTCACCATTTATGACTCTCAAGCTTTAAATGTGGCAACAGTTTCGCACAGACAGTTCTAGAAAGTTTCAAGGGTTTCACGGATTGAGGGCGAGTCGTTTTCAACATGTGGCTCTCGCCTTAGCGCCGCGCACATTCCTTCACACATGTGTGAAAAAAATTCACGGACTGAGAGCGGTTCCTTTTCAAATTGTGGTCCTCGCCTTAGCTCCGCGCACATTCGTTCTACAAAGTTGCAAGAGCTTCACTGATTGAGAGCGGCTCCTTTTCAAAATGTGGCTCTCGCCTCAGCGCCGAGCGCATTCGTCAAAACAATTGCAAGCGCTTCACGGGTTGAGGGCGGTTCCTTTTCAACATGTGGCTTTCGCCTTAGCGCCGCGCACACTCGTTAAAACAAATGCAAGCGTTTCACGGATTCCCGTGATCAGCGTACCAGAAATTTTGTTGTGGAAGGATTCAGGGTTATGCGGGTGCAACAGTTACATGGGTTCGCGGTGTTGAAGTCCCAGGCATGGTGTTCTGGCACGGTGCAGGACCGTCAATACGCAACAGTCAGGTTGATCCGTGGCGTTCGAATCCCGAAAACAATGTTTATGTATGCTTCAGGGTCTTCGAGCGGTTGTCTTCCAACGGGGCAGTTCCCTGAATGGAAATGAGCCGTTATAGGGGCCTATGAAGAGGGAGCTTGGAGGGAGTGCTGATTCCAACATCGTTGATGACTCCTGCTTTTACACTGGTCCTCCTTCTCCTCCTCCTCCTCCTCCCTCCTCCTCCTCCTCCTCCTCCTCCTCCTCCTTCTCCTCCTCCTCATCCCCCTCCTGCCCCCCGTCCTCCTCCTGATCCCCTTCCCCTCCCCCCCTCCTCTCCCCTCCACCTCCTCCTCTCTCCTCCTCCACCCTCCTCCTCCTCTCTCCTCCTCCCCTCCTTCTCCTCTCTCCTCCTCCTCCTTCCTCCTCCATCCTCCTCCTCCTCCTCCCCTCCTCCTCCTCCTCCTCCTCCTCTCCTCCTCCACCTCCTCCACCCCTCCTCCTCCTCCTCCTCCTCCTCCTCCTCCTCCTCTCCTCTCCTCTCCTCCTCCTCCTCCTCCTCCCTCCTCATCCTCCTCCTCCTCCTCCTCCTCCTCCCTCCTCCTCTCCTCCTCCTCCTCCTCCTCCTCCTCCTCTCCCTCCCCTGCTCTTCTTTCCCGTCATCCATCCCCCTCCTGCTCCCCTCCTGCTCCTCCTCTCCTTTTCCTCATTTCCTAGTGCTTTTCCTGCTCCTCCTCCTCCTCCTCCTCCTCCTCCTCCTCCTCCTCTTCGTCCTCCTCCTTCTCCTCCTCCTCCTCCCCCTCCCCCTCCTTCTCCTCCTCCTCTGGGGAGGCCTCCCCTCGGGTGGGACGAACGGGGGGTCGTGGGGGGCGGGAGGATTACGACATCTGCTGCCGCATGCCGCTGGTCTCGGCCCCGCAGCCGGGCGCACTCCTCCAGGCGTTGGCGCCGGGAGGCGCTGGAGGGCGCCCCGAGAAGCAGCTGCGTGAGCTGGCTCGCGAACCCCCCGCTCTGCTCGCCCTTCTTCCCTTCGTTGGACCCTACGGTCGGACCAAGGTATCAGATCGAGGTCGGTTCGGAGAGGGTGCCCTAATGATCTTCGTGCTTGTTGGATGTTCTTGAGCATCCTCGGGGAGGGTGTCCTCGAATGTTCTTGCTTTTGGCCAGCGGAGGGTCTCATGTTCTTGAAGGATGTTCTTCTGTCCTAGGTCCGGCCGTACCGGGTTCGTGGTTTCCTCCAGCTTGGGAGGTCTGGGCGTATGCCCCCCCCAGACCTCCCAAGCTGGAGGAAACCACGAACCCGGTACGGCCGGACCTAGGACAGAAGAACATCCTTCAAGAACATGAGACCCTCCGCTGGCCAAAAGCAAGAACATTCGAGGACACCCTCCCCGAGGATGCTCAAGAACATCCAACAAACACGAAGATCATTAGGGCACCCTCTCCGAACCGACCTCGATCTGATACCTTGGTCCGACCGTAAGAGTCGAGTCAAATCATGTGTTGTCCGACTTCTCTGGTGGCGCCTCCATCTGTGAAGATGCCTCAGACGAGAGCCGCGCTCTTGAAGGTACGCCGAATTCGGGAGCGCACTGAACCTTTTTCAGTGTCTGAGGATGTCTGCAGCAAAACGCCCCGCCACACCAAATTCGATATCCAACGCCCGAGCTCAACAGCTCAATCTTCTGAAGATGTCTCATGCGAAGGCTTCACTTTTGATAACCAACGTCGTAACAGAACTCCTCCAAGAACTCCTCCGACCCCAATGTGCGAGGATATCTCAGGCGACACGCCCCCCCCCCCACACACACCATGCTGAGTATACACTACCCGATGTTCAACAGTTCATGTTTCGGAGCATGTATTGGGCGAAAGGTGTTTCTCCTGAATCAGCGTCGTAAACCAACTCCTCTAACATCCCCATGTTGTGAGGATGTCTCAGGCGAAACGCCTCCCCTCCCACACCGTGTTGAATCTCCGACGCCCGATCTCAAACATTTCAATAGCGTGAGGGAGTCCCATGCGAAAGCTTCACTTTTGAGAACCAGCGTAGTAAAACAACTCCTCCACCATCCACATGTTGTGAGGGTGTCTGAGGAGAATCGCTCCGCCCACACCATGTTGGATATCCGACTCCCGATCTCTACCATTACATGTTCTGATGGTGTCTCATGTGAACGCTTCATTCTTTATGAAAAAACAACATCGGACAACAACTTCTCCAAAATCCCCATTTTGTGAGGATGTCTCAGGCGACATGTGCTCCCTACACCATGTTTGATATCCGACGCCTCCAACATTTTATTTATCTGAGGCTGTTTGAGACGAACGCTGTATTTTTGACAATTAACGTTCAAACACAACTCCTCCAACATCTCCATTGTGTGAGGATGTCTCAGGCGAAACGCCCCCACTCCCCCCCCACACACCAGTTTAGATATCCGCCGTCTGATCTCCAGCAACTCATTTTCTGAGGACGTCTCATTCGAACGTCTTGTTTTTGAGAACCATCGGTGCACACCAACTCCTCAAACGTGCCCATTTTGTAAGGATGCCTCAGGCGAAACGCTCCCCCCCCCACACCAGGATAGATATCCGACGCCCCCGTGGACACGTGAAAACACGTGCTCCGCGCACACGCCCCACTCTACGCACGTTTTTTGACTCGGACAGAATCTGACACGATTCAGTTGAATACCCTGGACACGTGAAAAACGTGCCCAGTTTTGTGTGTGCAGAGTCCGACGCGAGCAAGTTGGATACCCCACTGTGGGCCCCGTTGTCGCCAGGAGCACGCGGAAACGCGTGCAAAACGCATTTGTGACGAGACACATGTTGGAGACCCCCCCCTTCCGCACACGTAGTTTTCGGTCCCCAATTCCGACCCCGCCTGCTCGACACCTTTCCGGTACAGGGCCAAAGGCCCGCACACCAGAAAAACTTGGGCCCAAGCCTTCACGGGGCAAAAACACGACGGCAGGTTTCTCGGCAATTTCGGCCTCCTCCTCCTGCTTTATTTTCCTCTTCCTCCTCTTCCTCCTCCTCCTCCTTCTCCTCCTCGTCGTCGTCGTCGTCCTCCTCCTCCCTCCTCCTCCTCCCTCCTCCTCCTCCTCCTCCTCCTCCTCCTCCTGCTTTATTTCCTCTTCCTCCTCTTCCTCCTCCTCCTCCTTCTCCTCCTCGTCGTCGTCGTCCTCCTCCTCCTCCCTCTCTGCCTGGACCTCGCGCCCTCTCGGGGCGCGGGCGAGGCCAACCTGGAATCCTAGACTCCTTCTCCGCCCTTCGTCAAGCTCCCCCCTCCTCTTCGGGACTCCACGCCTCTTCCTCCTTCTCGTCCTCCTCCTCGTCCTTCTCCTCCTCGTCCTCCTCCTCCTCCTCCTCCTCGTCGTTCCCTCCTCCTCCTCCTCCTCCTCCTCCTCCTCGTCGTTCTCCTCCTTATCCTCCTCCTCCTCGTCCTCGTCCTCGTCGTCCGCCTCCTGCAGTCCTTCGTCCTCTGCCCAAGCCCCTCCCTCGGCGGGGCCACCCGCGCGGAGGCCTTCCTGCTGGAGATGGAGCTGTGGCTGCGGTCCGAGGAGGCCGCGTCCACCCGCAAGCGGCGCAGGAGACGAAGGTCGAAGAACAACAAATGTATGCACATGATCTCTCTCGGTAGCAAATCATGGGAGCCTTGAGGGTCCTCGAAATTCCGTCTTTGGAGTGCACTAGCGTGCGCAATCGTCTGGTTGTGAAAGTGCAGATTTAGCGTCGATCAGCGTCGATTTAGAGTCGACTAGCTTCGCCTTGCGTCGATTAGCGTCGGTTAGTGCCGATTCGCAAGAGCCAGCCAGATGGCATAGGAGGCTGCCGTGACGTCGCCACCGAACTTTTTCGGAGCTCCGCGCGGATTTCTTGGATCGATGTCGGGCGCCTGGGGCGGCGCCTCATCGCCCTGGTGGGCAGCCCTGATCGCCTTCGTCGTCATCGATTTTTGGAGGATCGAGCTTTTAGTATGTTTTTTCGATGTCTACCTGGATTCCGCTGCGACGGGTTCGATTCTGGTTCCAGCCAGTACTTCTGGGCTTCTGATTCCGATCCGATACGGTGCGCGTGTTTCCGGTTCCTTCCAGTTTCTTCCATTCCAGTTTTCAGGCTGGCCCGTCCTCAGTGTGAAAACTCAGTGGGGATTCCTAGTTTGATTTTTTCCCCGGGGTCCGCTTTTCCGTTCGAAATTTTTCAGGATTGGTCGCCCGTCGGGCGTGGTCAGCAACCGATCACCGCGGGCATCGCCGCCTCTTCGTTGTCCGCCCTCTGTCTTTGTTGGAGTGCGTTGTCCTGCCGACGCCGCGACGGTGAATGTGCGAAGTTGCAGAGACAGTGCGCGCGCAGAGAGACGACGCGAAATCACGAAAGAGAAGTGCAATGACAACCGCAATGACAACCGCAAGACAACCCAATGGAAATTCAGTGGCAACTGAAAGAAAATTCGGTGAACACAGTTTGTCTTGTTTCAAGCCATAGATTGTTTTCATCAGTTTGGGTGGCTTTTTGTGAGGCCCGTCGAAGGACCTTTTGCGGCGCCCCCAGTGGCGACGGGGATTTGAATTTCCATGCCGTTCTCTCGTCGAATTGCCCGGCTGTTCAGGGGAGTCGCGTTCGCCGTATGTTCAGATCGCAATCACATTGCGGTCTTTGTCTGGTAGGACGGAGCATTCTTGTCGTCGCAGCCATCGCGATAGGGCGCCCCCCCCCCACAAACGCGGTCATCTCGTTTGTCGGAGGCGCCGGCAAAACCCCGAACAAAAATCAGGAGCGCTGTGAAATTCCGTCCTATTACCTCTGCGGGCACCGCCAGCCTGACAGTTTATCGCCGATCCGATTTCGAGCGGAATCTTGGCCACAGCGCACCCCAGGACAGGCACCGCACTGTGACAAAGAATCACGGCGCAAGGCCTTTGGCAATTTGCGGTCGTCGTGGGCTTCTCAGTCCCCCCGGAAAGGTCCAGACCTCTGAGGAGCCTTGTTGCGAGGCAGAAAGCGCGACGTCGGACGTCTGCGGCGGGCGGCGGCCGCTGGGTCAGGGCCACTCCTGGCGGGGCAGTCTTTCTGTTGCCGCGCGACCCCATTCGCTGCCAGGAAGCCGGGTGCACATGATGTGGCTGACCTGGGCGAGAGCTGGATCGATAGTGAGATCGATAGTGAGATCGATCGGGAGATCGATAGTGAGATTGATTGAGTGAGATCGAGTGCGTGAGACAGTGGCTTTTCCCCCCGAACCTCCTTATCACCCAGAGGGTTGTCGTAGAGATACACGCAATGGCGTGTGGCCGCGTGCCCTCTGGCGCTTGGCCCTCGTATGGCCTGGTGCGACAGCCCTCCGCAGCACGAGCTTCCCAGGCGTGGCCTCAGCGCGCTCCACGTGTGATCCCAGCGAGGCGTGTGTTCCAGCTCTCGCCTCGGCACGCCCGCGATGTACTTCACGTTCTGAGCGGTGCTCGCCCTTTCCCCGCCTCCCCTCTCCCCGCGCCCCTTCGTGCCCAGCTTGCTCCCGGCGCGCCCCGCCCGTGGCCCGACCGGCGCCTGCACCTGCTCCAGCTCGCTTGCAAGGCTTGCGCGCTTGCGCCGCTGACCAAAAACAGTGTCCCAGCTCTCCGGCAGGGGCGTCGGCGTCCCCGTCCCAGAAATTCCCAGCGAGGGCCAGAAGGCCCACGAGGCGGGCCCAGCCCAGGAGGCGACCCGGAGAGGCGGGTCGTTGGGGGGGGGAAGGGGAGGGGGAGGGTCAGGGGCAACGGTAGGGGGGGATTGGCACAGGGGGGGGGTGCATCGACCCCCAGCCGTCCACTCATCGCCTGCAGGGGCCCGATAGCCCCACCCCGCCCAGGAACGCGGGGACGTGCAATCGGTGGCCTATCGCCGATCAGTCGGCGATGTGTCGCCGGTTCCAGGTCGACGTTTCCCCCCCCCTGTGCCAGTCCCCCCAATCGTTGCCCCTCTGAGGGGGGGGGAGCAGTGAAGGAGAGAGCGAGAGGAGACGAGAAGGGAGGTGAGGCGGACTACTGCCCACTCCACCTGGCATGCCAGAGGCAGGACTGAGGGTCGAGCATCGGGTCGGGCGAGAGGGGAGAGATTGGGAAAGGGGGGGGGGAGGAAACCTGCAGTGTGCCGCTGGTCTCAGCCGCAGCGCGAGGCGCTTGCCTCGATGCCTGGGCGCCTCCGGCGCCGGAAGGCGCCGGGAAGACTGGCCGCGTGAGGGGATACCCGAGAAGAGGATGGATGATCGAGAGGAGGAGGAGGAGGAGGCTTTGGGCCCTCTCTGGGCCCCTTTCGGGGGTCCTCGGAGGCCCGTGGGGGCCTCCAGGAGGCGAGGGGGCCGGCAGCGGCGCGCCAGGGGGGGCCCTCGGGCCAGCCCTGGCAGTGCAGGGGCAGGTCACGAGTTGGCTGCGCGCAAGAGTTCGCAGGCCTAGAGATTGACACCAACACCAATATCGGCGGTGTGCTTCCACCGAGGGAAGAAGATCCCGATCTCGGTGATGGTGGTAATATTCTGGCTTCCAGGGTGGCCGAAATATTACCACCAACGCCGAAATCTAGGATCATCTTCCCCCTATGGATGCAACCCCCTGTGTTGGTGTTGGTGCCAATTTCCTGGCCTCCAAAGAGTGGCCTTTCGCTGGGGTGGCCTTCAGTGCGGGCCCGCAGGGGTGCCCCAAAACACTGGCCTGCGCGCCAGGATTCGGCTTCCCCGCGGTGCCCGAAGGCCGCGCACCGAAGGTGTCTTCTGCCCAGGGTCACTCTCGCGCGTAGCCGAAGAAGGGGCGGGGGGTCCCGCGGCCCCGCAGGAGCCCCAGAGGCTGGTTCAAAACGAAAGTTCCCGTCGTGATCTTTCCACGGCGTGATTGGCGCCTGGGTTCGTGGGTGAGGCCCCAGACCTGTCCTGGGATGCGCTCCTGGGTACAATCTTGACGGGAACCCAGCCGTGACGACGCGAAGAACCCAGGAGGCCCAAAGGCAAGAGCAACAAGCGCACGGAAGCTTCGAAGTTCGAGAGTTGTCTCCTCCCCTCTTCGTGCGCTGCAGCGGGGGTCCCGCCGCCGTGCCTGAGGGGCCTCGATGATGCCAGGACTCTCTCTCTCTCTCTCTCTTTCTCGACTTTTCTCTCGTGCCTGAGGGGACTCTCTCGTGCCTGAGGGGACTCTCTCTCTCTCTCTCTCTCGTGCCTGAGGGGACTCTCTCTCTCTCTCGACTTTTCTCGCTATGGCAGCCTCGTGCCGCGTCGACGCAGCGGCGACCCCAACACCGGTGTCCAAGGTGGAACGCCGCCAGCGGCTCAGAGTTGGCCGACATCGGCCGATCCGCGCTACCTCACCACCCACCAAACCACCCCAACCCAACCCGAAGGCTCAGATTTACCCTCGATTTCCAGTGGGGGGGTGGTCGGGAAGCATCGAAAAAACACATGTGAAACCCTTACCCCCCCCAACCCGAAATTCGGGTCTTCGGGTTGGGTTGGGGTGGTCTGGTAGGGAGTCACTACCTGTTGAACGATCCACCACGCGGTGTCAGGAACCAGCGCCTGGGTCGCCACAGCACGGGCTCACCGTGCTCGAGCTGCTGGGTCGTGGCGCCCCCCCCCCGCCAGGAGGGAACGCCTCCAGGAGATCGAGGCCGAGCTGGCCCCGCTCGACTGGCAGGCCGTGCACCGGTGCGCCGCCGAGCTCGGCGTGAACATATCTCGAGGGGCCCCTTCGCGCAGCCCCGCCAGCCCCCTGGGAGGAGCGGTCGGTGGGCTCTCGCTCAGGGGGCCGCTCTTCGTTCGGGGTTCGGGGCACGGCAGTCCGAGTTTCTTGGAAGGTTTGTGGAGTTATCTCTGCAGTTTTCGGAGGTTTTCAGGAGCCGCTTTTTTATATTCAAAAACAGTGAGAACATACTAACTATTACCCCAGTGCGACCCTACCTAGAAGTTGGAGCCCCTAGGAAAGCAGCATGAGTTGCAATGCTGTGCTATGCTATGCTATGCCATGCTATGCTGCGCTATGCTATGCTGTGCTATGCTATGCTATGCTATGCTATGATGCGCTATGCTATGCCGTGCTATGATTTGCTATGCTATGCTACGAAATGCTAAGCTATGCTATGTCATGCTGCGCTGTGCTGTGCTATGCTATGCTATACTATGCTATGCTATGTTAAGCTGCGCTATGCTCTGCTATGCTATGATAGGCTATGCTATGCTATGCTATGCTACGCTATGGTATGCTAATGCAGCGCTGCGCAAAGCTAAGCTAAGCTAAGCCAAGCTAAGCTAACCCTCTAGGCAGAGCGTAGGTCGGGAATTACACCCATAGCATAGCGCAGCATAGCTATGCTATGCTATGCTGCGCTATGCTGCGCTAAGCAGTGGTGAACCGCGGGGCGGATACTGGGGGAACCGCCCGGGCCAGTTCCCACTGCCCGGCCCTTTAATCCAAGAGAGTAGGAACCCTTCTAGGCAGAGCCTAGGTAGGGAAAACTTTACCGAAAACGTCCCCGATAGGCCCTTCAGAGAGCGGCAAATCCCCGGGAAGTCTGTAACCCGATATTTCCCCATGACGCCCGATAGTGGCCCAAGAAGCGCCCAAGAGACCCCCGAACGCCCCTTAGAGCTCACAAGAGCGAGCGCCAACAAGGCTCCAGGAAAGCAAGGAATGGAGTGTTTGCTGCCGTTGCGCCCCCTAGCTCCTCTTCTTCTCCTCTTCTGGCCTCCTTGCTCTCCTCCTCCTACTCTTTGCGACTCGTCAAGTCGACCAGACCAAATAGGCTGCGCTATGCGATGCTATTCTATGCTATGCTATGCTATGCTGCGCTATGCTATGCTATGCTTGACTATGCTATGCTATGCTATGTTATGCTAATGCAGCGCTGCGCTATGCTAAGTTAAACTGAGCTAAGTTAAGCTAAGCTAACCTTCTAAGCATAATCTAGGTAGGGAATCATACCCATGCTACGATATGCGATGCTGCGCTATGCTATGCTACGCTATGCTATGCTAACGCTCAGCGAAGCTAAGATGAAGGTAAGCTAAGCTAAGATACAACTGAGGTAAGATGAAGCTAAGCTAAGGTAAGATGAAATAAGCTAAGCTAAGATGAGATAAGCAACGCGAAGCTAAGGGAACGTCACTGGGGGAACCGCGGGGCGGATACTGGGGGAACCGCCCGGGGCGCGTTCCCACTGCCCGGCCCTTTAATCCAAGAGAGTAGGAACCCTTCTAGGCAGAGCCTAGGTAGGGAAAACTTTACCGAAAACGTCCCCGATAGGCCCTTCAGAGAGCGGCAAATCCCCGGGAAGTCTGTAACCCGATATTTCCCCATGACGCCCGATAGTGGCCCAAGAAGCGCCCAAGAGACCCCCGAACGCCCCTTAGAGCTCACAAGAGAGAGCGCCAACAAGGCTCCAGGAAAGCAAGGAATGGAGTGTTTGCTGCCGTTGCGCCCCCTAGCTCCTCTTCTTCTCCTCTTCTGGCCTCCTTGCTCTCCTCCTCCTACTCCTTGCGACTCGTCAAGTCGACCAGGCCAAATAGGCTGCGCTATGCGATGCTATGCTATGCTGTGCTATGCTATGCTGCGCTATGCTATGCTATGCTGGACTACGTTATGCTATGCTATGTTATGCTGATGCAGCGCTGCGCTATGCTAAGTTAAACTGAGCTAAGTTAAGCTAAGCTAACCCTCTAAGCAGAGCCTAGGTAGGGAATCATACCCATGCTACGATATGCGATGCTGCGCTATGCTATGCTACGCTATGCTATGCTAACGCTCAGCGAAGCTAAGATGAAGGTAAGCTAAGCTAAGATAAAACTGAGGTAAGATGAAGCTAAGCTGAGGTAAGATGAAATAAGCTAAGCTAAGATGAGATAAGCAACGCGAAGCTAAGGGAACGTCACTGGGGGAACCGCGGGGCGGATACTGGGGGAACCGCCCGGGGCGCGTTCCCACTGCCCGGCCCTTTAAGCTACCGAGTAAGAACCCTTCTAGGCAGAGCCTAGGTAGGGAATAAAAAACCATGGCTCGGCAGCGGGCCGCGCGCACCGGAGCTCAATGCACAAGATGCTGGCCTCGACCCCACCCAAGGGCGCCCAACTACCCGCGACCGCGCTGCGCGGAGCGCGAACAACTTCGAGAGCCCGTCAGCCACACCTCGTCGAGAGCGTTCCAAGGATGTCAGAATGTTCCCAAACGATCGGGTGTGGCCCGAAAACCAAATGCACACCAAATGAAGCCTCACCGTTGCGGCCCCGTTTGGGGTGGCGGTCGGGCTGGGGAGGCCGTCCTGAGGAGTGGCCTCGTGCCTGGCCGGGGGGCACTTTCTGGTTTCCCGGTTTGGCACCAAGGCCCCCCACGTCTCAACCTTTCCCCTCCTTCCCTTGCCTCTCGCTGCAAACACGTGCCGATCTTCCCCTCCTCCCCCTTCCCTCTTGTGGGACTTTGCCCCTGGGGGGCGGGGGCACGTACCTCCACGGTGGACACGTGGAAGAGAAGAAGAAGAAGAAGAAGAAATAGGCCTGCCAGCGGGTGCCCCGCAGGAACTTTGTAGGTTTTCGCTGGCCCTGTGGGATCCCACTGGGCCCCCGGGGCACCTCGCGAAGCCTGAGATCGACGGAAGGTGTGCCCCTAGGAGGAGGAGGAGGAGGAGGAGGAGGAGGAGGAGGAGGAAGAGGAGGAGGAGGAGGAGACGCAGCAGCAGGAGGAGGAGGAGAAAGAGTTCTTATGGGCAAGGCCTGCCATCGTTTGCATGTCTTGGCGGGCGTCGAAGGGCCGACCACCTCGCGGGCCGTGCCTTCGCGGGCATGCGGGTGCTCCAGACCCCTTGCGCCGTCTCTGCTTGCTTTTTGCTTCTGGTGGCTCGGGTCGTTGTTTCATCCCATGTCGTGCTTTTGTTTTGTCGTCCAGCGGCCCTGAGGCTGCCTCCAGAGGCAACGCAGTAAGAGAAGCTGGCAATGTGTTTGTTGTTTGCTTGACCATTGATTTGTTTGTTTGTGTATTTGGTGTATTTGGTTGGTTGGTTGGTTGTTTGTTTGTTTGGTTTGTCGCTGTCGTTTGCTTGTTTGCTTGTTTGTTTGTTTGTTGTTGTTGGTGTTGTTGGTTGTGCTGGAATTGATGGTGGTGGTGTTGCTGTTGTTGTTGTTGTTGTTGGTGGTGGTGGTTTTGTTGTTGGTGTTGTTGTTGCTGCTGCTGTTGTTGTTGCTGTTGTTGTTGAATGTTACTTACTAATAAATTATTATGATTGGACCCCGTACAGGCGCTTTGGCGCTCTCGCCGAGGCGCCGGCTACATTTTCATTGAACATGAGGCTCACGCTCGAGCGGTTTGGGGGACCGCCCAAACTGGCCCCCCAACAACAACAACGATCCCGCTCGAGATGTCTTCCTTCTTTACTCAGGGCTGGTGTTCTTGCTCGTCGCCGAAAGCCGCCGTTCTAACAAAACCAGCGCTCCCGCTCGAGACTTCCTCCCGTTTTACCTTGGACTGGCGCGCTAGTCTTTCTCTCATCGGCGCCGCCCCCCAGGAAAAACAACGCTCCCGCTCGAGGTTTCCTCCCTTTTTTTACTCAAGGCGGTGCTCCGCCTCGCCGCCGAAAACCGCCGCCCCGACAAAACCAGCGATCCCGCCCGAGACTTCCTTTTGTTTTACGCTGGACTGGCGCCCAACTCTGTTTTGCACTGGCGCCGCCCCCAGCAAAAACAACGCTCCCGATTGAGGCTTCCTCCTTTTTTCCTGAAGACCGTGCTGTTCCTCGCGGCCGACAACCCCCGTCCCGACAAAGCCACAGCTCCCGCTCGATACTTCCTCCCTTCTTACTCAAGGCGGTGTTCCTCCTCGCCGCCGAAAACCGCCGCCCCGACAAAACCAGCGCTCCCGCCTGAGAACCCCTTTTGTTTTACGCTGGACTGGCGCCCTACTCTCTTTTGAATTGGTGCCGTTCCCAGCAAGAACAACGCTCCCGCTCGAGATGTCCTTTGTTTCCGCAGGACTGTGCTGTTCCTCGCCGCCGGCAGCCCCCGTCCCGACAAAGCCACGGCTCCCGCTCGATGCTTCCTCCCTTCTTACTGAAGGCGGTGTTCCTCCTCGCCGCCGAAAACCGCCGTCCCAAGAAAACCAGCGTTCCCGCTCGAGACTTCGCTTTGTTTTTCGCTGGACTGGCGCCCTACTCTCTTCAGCATTGGCGCCGCTCCCAGCAACAACAGCAGCCCTGCTCGAGACTTCCGCCCCTTCTATTCAGGGCCAGGTCCTTGCCTCACCGCCGACAGCCCCCATCCCCACCAAGGTAACCCTGTCGTTCGATACTTCCTTGTGCTTTACCCTTCGCTGGGGTTCCACTGGCGGTCTCGCATCGGCGCAGCAAGGCGCGGGCATGTGTTTTCGAGGCGGGATATGTTGAAATTCCTTGGGCGAGGTGTTCGCAAGACTTCATTGGGCGGGAGATCTGGGAATGGGAATAACGGACCCCGCTATAGAACAAGAGTGCCCCCATTATGTGGATGGTTATCATGATGGGCGCATGCTCCGTCTGGAAACATCGCGCATGAGGTTCAAAGGATGGTCGTTGTTGTTGTTGCTGTTGTTGTTGTTGTTGTTGTTGTTGTTGTTGAACTTTCATTTCTGAAGAATAGTTATTTTTGATCCCCCTCGCCGGTGCATACTGTTTCCTCTCAATCAAAGTGTGCCCCTCGACGCTCGCACCCTGTTTTTTTTACAGGGGAAGTCTTCCTGCTCAAACTGGGCCCCTGGCCCCCCGGATTACAAAAACAACGGCTCCGGCCTGAGACTTTTCCAAATTTACTCAGGACCCCCGCCCTTGAGACTTCCTCACAATTTACTCAGGATCGCCGCTCCCGCTTGTGATTTCTTCGCAATTTAGTCAGGACCCCCGCTCCCATCTGAGACTTCCTCACAATTTACTCAGGAACGGTGCTCCCGCTTGAGACTTCCTCGCAATTAGTCAAGACTTCCTCGCAATTTAATCAAGACCCCCGCTCCCGCCAGAGAGCCCTTCACATTTTACTTAAGAATTGCGTTCTCGCCTGTGACTTCCATGCAATTTATCTAGACATCGCGCATTCGACGCTCAGGAAACACGCTGCGCCAATGACGCAGTTACAATTGACTTACCGGGAAGCTGGATACACATGACGTGGCCGGCCTGGGCGAGAGTTGGAAACACATGTGGCCGGATGTTTCTCTGGCACGCGGCCCCCGGATGTCTTTCTGTCAGCCAGCCTCCGGATGTGTTTCCGGCATTTGGCCCCCGGATGTCTTTCAAGCGATTTGGCCCCTGCCCCCGGATGTGTTTCCCGCGATCGCCCCCATTGCATTTCTCCCTGAGCGGACCCCTTGGTTGGGAGCCTCGGGCCGCGTCCAGGCACCCTTGGGGGCCTCGGGGCGCGCCGCGCCCCGTTGGGAGCGCGGGGCGCGCAGCGCCCCCCTTGGGAGCCTTGGGGCACGCTGCGCCCCCTTGGGAGCTCAGTGGCGCGCCGCGCCCCCTTTGGGAGCCTTGGGGCGCGTGGCGCCCCCCCCCTTGGGAGCCTTTGGGCATGCCGCGCCCCCCCTGGGAGCCTTTCGGGCGCGCCGCGCCCTCTTAAGGAGCCTGGGGGCGCCGCGCCCCTGTGGTCGCGCACTCCTCTCCCTCCCCCCATACAAGGGCGAAGAAGGAAGAGGTCTGCAGACCTCTCCCTCCCCTTTCCTCTCCCTCCCCCCTACACGACCAAGCATGCTCTCCTCTCACGCCCCCCCTCTCCCTCCCCCCTACACGCCTTTCGGGCGCGCCGCGCCCATGTGGTCGCGCACTCCTCTCCCTCCCCCCTACACGACCAAGCATGCTGGGTCGTGTTTGAAATGGAACAGCGGGAAGCACAGAGAACATCGAAGCAGTGGAAGTGTTGAGAGCCCAGGCCACTCGCGGGGGCGCTAAGATCGTCGCGATGCGCGCCCCCGCGGGCTGGGCCGGCGTCTCCAAGGGGGCGGCGCGTTGGCTCGAGGGCGCGAAGATGTTCGCGCGCCGCGCATCCCGGGGCGGCTTCCGACCGCGAGCTTCCGGATAGCGTGTCGCGCCGCGCCGCTTGTTTTGGCCCACCACGCTTCGGTGTCAACGCCCCGATCAGTTCCCAACCTCCCGCCCCGCGGAGCGGGGCGACACGCTGTCCGCTGGCAGGGCATAGCGTGTCGCCGGGGCCGCTGCGGCAACACGCCATCCCATAGTTCCTGCCCGTAGGAGGTTCTGCTGGTGGCGCGGCCCGAGCCTCCCCTGCGCTGCCGGCTTGCCCACCTCTGCAAAAAGCCCGCGCCGCGAGCGAGGGCGTCGCCGCCGTGGTTCGGCGGCGAGCCCGGGGGGAAAGTGAGACGGGGCGGGCTTTCTCAGAAGGCTCGTGAGTCCTCGGGCCTTCTGAGAAGTTTTCTGAGCCTTCCCCGAAGATACAGGGCACTTCTCAGAAGGCTCGAGGGCTTCTGATAAGTCCCGCCACCTTTTGAGAAGGCCTCCTCCTCCTCACTTTCCCTCGCCCTCGCTCGCCGCCGAGTGGTGGCGGGCGAAGCTGGCGGCCAGGGCCGCCCCCATCGGGTGGGGGCTGGCGGGTTCAAGGCCACCGCCGTGCCGGGCCGCGCCGGCGGGAGCGGCGGCGCCCGCCGCAGCGTGGCGGACACCCGGGGGGGAGGGGGCCTCTCGTCTCTCGGCTGAGCCTTAAGCTCGATTGCGCGTAAGAGTGACCTTTCGCCGGAGTGACCTCTGGTGCGGGCCCGCTGGGCCCCCCCGATCGACGAATGCGAGGCGATAGCAGCGGCTTGCGCGCCTGGCGGTGTCCCCAAAGGGCCGCCCCGTTGGCCGCGTATTTGAAGATCACTCTTGCCCAGGATCACTCTAGCCGAGAAGTGCGGACAATGAGCCATATCCACATCCACTGCGTCTTGGACTTTCCAGGAAGGGGCACCGAAAGACCGAGACGCGGTGGAAGACGCCTAGTCTCCAGGGGCCAGGTTTTCATCCAGCCGCTGCGCCTCGGGTGTCTGGGGAAGGGAGCTCGACACTCCAAGATGCAGTGGATATGGCGATACGGCTTGCCCGCACTAGGCCGACACAAGCGCTCCTCGTCATGAGTGAAAAACGGGTCCCAGAGGGAAACGGGTCCCAGGCCCCGGAGGCCTTCCCTCAGGGCCAGCTTCTCTTCCTCAGTCGTTTGCTGACAGCCCTCCCGAGGACCAAGGGAGGGTCCCGGCTTCGGGCTCTCGGGACCCTCCTTGGGCCCTGGGGCTGACAGAAAGCTGCGCAGGACGAGAAGCTGGTCCGGAGGGAACGCCCCCCGAGTTCCAGAGCTGGTGTCGGCC